CATAAGGCTACCAAGCAATAGCCTGCATGGCATCTTGCAGCCGGGGCGAAACATCTCTGTTAGTTCTGGGTCTGTCTCTTAAGTTCCTCATCTTAGTTTTAGCAGCTGAGTTGTGGTTTTGCCAGTTGTCTGGCTCCCTATTATATATTGTTTCACCATGCTGACAAGGCTAATTCATGTGTTCATAATACACATATGAGTTATATGTCACTGGGCTTTACCTTCTTTTTGCATTTCTGGGAGGGAAAGGGAATACTGCTCTAGATCCCAAGCAGCTACGTTCTTCAAACTAAAAGCAGTTGTGTGAGAAACTCAGCTTATATGTTACAGACAACCAGCCTTTGATTCTTCCAGCTAGTGCATTGTTTATCATACTTTACAAGCCTTGTGACATTTGCTAATTTCTACTGAATAAACGCTGTGCTGCTGACAAAGATTCATATTAACTCTGGAAGGGACAGGTTACAAATAGCAAACAAAGCTAAGTCCATGCATGTTAGGCCTTATGCTGGGGCATTAAAGGGACAATTGCCAGCATCAGTCCTTGTGATAACCGTAGTCTTCTACACATGTCAGGAAGATTTTGGGATCCACATGGCAGGAGAGCATCTTAAACAAAGATGTGCTCTCCCAAGCCCACATTCTCACCATGTTTGCACTCCTGTCTCAGCAACATCTACGCTAGGTTGGCAATGTCCACAGAATAAAAGATGGCAGGATCCCCATGCTCTGTGGAGAGCTTGCTTCAGGCACCGGGCCCATTGGCAGACCAACTCTTCATTACAAAAATGTCTGCAAACTTGACATGAAGGCTGGCAACATTAATCCTGTGGTGTGGGAATCCCTTGCAGACGACCACAGTGCCTGGAGACAGACAAACAGGTTGTATATCCACAACAGTGACCTGAGGAGGAATGACCGTTGGAAGAAGAAACACCATGGTACACTTGCGTCAGCCCAACCGAACGCTTTCATCTGCCTCAGCTGCAACAGATCCTGTATTTTTCGTTTCGGTCTCTACTGCCACAGCAGGCGCTGTAACTCTCCAATAGCTCAACTCTGATATTGTCTTCTGCTAACTAACACACAACTGGGGGAAGGACAACATATGCATGGTCAATTGGTTTTTAATGCCTGGTGGTTGTTTCTCCTTGTGATCTTAATGGCATTGGTATCAGTGAGTTCCTGAACCGGGAGACCTAGCTCAGCCTTTATTTTTCACTGGTATCTTCCCTTCAAAATCAAATAAATTCTACCCCTTTACTAAACTTAGGATTATGGGTAGTCTGCAACATCCCCCCAAATTCATAATATTATTTTCCTACTTCAAGTAAAGGTGTGCTCCAGGTAGAACCATTGAAGAACAAGAGAAATAAGATACAATACTTTGCATACCTTTTTCTAGCTCTGTCACAGGTATGCACATGCTCAGATTTAGGAATAAGAAGCTCCACCCAGTGTTTGGAAACATGTTATGGCCCAAAGGCTGTTGTTTAGATTTATTTTTCTGATATATTTTGCATATTTGTATGCAACCAATTTGCTCCCTGGCAATTCACAATAAAATGCATAGAACAATGAAATCAATAGTACACAGCAAACCAGGAACAGAGGTGCATTTAAAATAGGTTAAAGCATGAAGCATAAAAGGCTTCAGAAAAGCAGATCTTCCTACAGTGCCAAAAGAGAAGAATGGGTGCATGGTTAGCCTCCCAGGGGAAGGAGTTCTGTGAGTGGTACAGAGGTATTTGCTTTAACAGAGAATTGGCAACTAATCGTTACCCTTATTGGGTGGCGCTGTGGGTTAAACCACAGAGCCTAAGACTTGCCGATCAGAAGGTCAGCGGTTCAAATCCCTGCGACAGGGTGAGCTCCTATTGCTCGGTCCCTGCTCCTGCCAACCTAGCAGTTCGAAAGCACGTCAAAGTGCAAGTAGATAAATAGGTACCGCTCCGGCGGGAAGGTAAACGCCGTTTCCGTGCGCTGCTCTGGTTTGCCAGAAGCGACTTAGTCCTGCTGGCCACATGACCCAGAAGCTGTATGCCGGCTTCCTCAGCCTATAGAGCGAGATGAGTGCCGCAACCCCAGAGTCGGCCACGACTGGACCTAATGGTCAGGGGTCCCTTTACCTTTACCTTAGTTACCCTTATTACAGCTATTTCTGACGGACCTTCTGGAATAGGTTTTAATTGAGCACAGGCTGCAGTGGGGAAGGTAAACTTGGAGAATATAAGCCTGCCTTGTGGAAGTCCCTTTTTGCTTTTGCAAGACATATCTGGAAGCAAGCCATGATATGTACTAGCTATGAATGGTGAATGTGCTTGTCTATAGCACTCGTGATTCAAGTTGAAGTTTAGTATCATAAAGGGAAAAGAAAATTGGTTAATTGCTAATGAGTGGTCCTTTACAATTAGAATATATTCTGTGTTGAATATGTTGGAAATTGCTGTTGTGTTTTTGCTGTGCCTTTTTCAAAATTCAGTTGCAGTCTCTCACCCCAACCCCACCTCCCAGTGAGTCATGTGTGTCTGACTGTGCGGTGTGAAATTTTGTTTTTTCAGGAAACAGTTCCTGGCAAATTAGGGAAGTGTGACAAGTCTCTCAACTCTTCTTTTTGCTTTCAGATCTGTGGAGGTGACTAAGTACGGTATTTTGGTATTGCTTTCAGATTCAGAGAAAGGACAGCTCAATCCTACCCATTCTAACTCATGGGTGGGGAGTCAGTGGTCCTCCAGACGTCATTAGACTTCCAACTCCCATCACTCAAGCTGGCATGGTCAATAGTAATGGATTATAGAAGTTGTTGTTCAGCAACATATAGTGTTAGAAACTGAGATATGACAGCTAAATGGCACCTTAAACCTAGGTTATGGGCACAAGAATGGAATGTGTAGGCGTGCTTTTTATAACAAGAATACAAAGCTGAAAATGAATGAACTGCAGCTAAAGTATTATGTTCATTTTTCACATGCCGACCCCCCCCCCCCAATATTCTGAAAAGGTTCTCTTCTCCAGTCTTCAGAGAGCAGCTGGAAGTGGGGAGACAGAAAAAGTTCCTCCTTTCCTTCCACTCTGCAGTTTTAATCTGAAATCTTAGGCACAGTACTGTGCCCAGAGCTCAGAAACTGCTCTCGCTAATGAAATTCCCTGTTGCAAAATACGCCTGAAACAATGGGAGTTTTGAACACTGCATATAGATAGCCACAAGTTCCCCATATTTGCTCTAGCTCAGGCTTCCTCAACCTCAGTCCTCCACATGTTTTTTGAGACTACAATTCCCATCATCCCTGACCACTGGTCCTGCTAGCTAGGGATCATGGTAGTTGTAGGCCAAAAACATCTGGAGGGCCAAGGTTGAGGAAGCCTGCTCTAGCTGATGCAAAATAATTTCTGTTGCACAGGGTCCCTTCAGTCCTCCAAATGAGATTTATGGAGGGGAAGCAGGGGGAATTGCTAGAAACTGCTCCTCTCCCCTTTCTTCCATCAGGGAATTGGACAACATTGGAAGCCACGCGGTAGCTGCTGCTTTAACGTTTACTTCAATTGTTTTAATGTGATTCATCTTGCATGTGGGCAGGAGACTATAGTTTCATCTACCTCTGTCCTGAGTGAGGAGGAGCATAAAGGTGCTGGTTCTTTTTTACTGTTCTGAGATAATCCCTTATGGTCCATGATTATTATTATTTCTCCTGATAACCATATACTTACTGGGTTCCCTCCCTCCTAAACATGTCTTCAATGGAAATTTGAATACCTCTCTGAAATTGTAAATCTATGGAAGAACTGGTTAAATGAATTGTGCCCAAGCAGGCTCTACAGGTTATTGAGAGAGCAGTAAACTGCTTTTGACCCATGGAAGTCATTTAGAAGTGCTTCTGTCAGCAGCTTTTAGAGCTGAATGCACTGGTTTGCTATATTATAAAATAACAGGAAAAATCCCTTTTACCTGTCTTTCATTAGTTTCCCTTACTCAGCCATTTCAATATTCTTGTCATTTTTAAAATTTCCCATCCCTTTGGGTTGGGTGACAATGTATGCCTGCAAAACAGGATTAATAAATGGATATTTCACACAAATCAATACTGAAACAGACAGGTGTTAAGTGCTTTCTGGTCCGTGTGTGTGTAGGAAGGATATCAGAATTCAAAAGCTTTGCGACCATGGGGCCGTATTCAGTGTAATGCTGGGGAGATCAGTCCATCAGCTCAAGCGTTTCTGCTTGCTTGACAGCACAGTATCTCCTTCCTTGCCCTTGCTGTTCTGGGGATTCTGCTCACTCTCCAGAGCAGATTTGGGGAGGGCATGTTGTGGCTATTGCACTGGCTTCCACTAGTGTGATGACTTAGCTGAATATTGTTAATTTATTTTTTATTATTAATAATATGGCCCAGGGATAATATTTTAATATTGCTTAAAATATGGATTGTAAATTATGCTGTCCCTATTGTAAGGAAGTTTTTGTACTGTCTTAATATTTAAGTTATATATCCTGTATTTTTAATACTGTTTTATTGTATGCTGCCCAGTGAATATTTATTGATGGGCTGCTACATGACTCATAACTCATAAATCATATAATTGTAGATTTGGAAGGGACCCCAAGGCTCATCTACTAAAATATATGTATCTTGCTGGCCGACAAAGCTTACCCAAACCTTTCAGAAATTAAAATATTGTTGACTGCATAGCCTTTTTGTGGTAATAATGTCTACTGCAAATATATTGGCAATATTTTATTGCACGAATCTGTAGCTGTATACAAGATACAAAACATTGGAGCACTGCTTTGTATTGTGGAAAATGTTTGTTTTGAATAGGAAATTTCACAGGAGTTATTGTAGACACACCTACATTCAAAATCTAGAGTATGTATACCAATATGTTTTATGCCATTTTGGCATGCTTTGGTCTACTGCATCAGTTTTCAATTAAGACCAATAAGAATTGTAAAATATGTTGTTTGGCTTTAAACTAAAGTTACCATTTCTGTGTTTTCTTAGAATGTATGACAACATGTCCACAATGGTGTATCTAAAGGAAGACAAGTTGGAGAAACTCACTCAAGATGAAATTATTTCTAAGACTAAGCAAGTGATTCAAGGGCTAGAAGCTTTGAAGAATGAGCACAATTCCATCTTACAGAGTTTACTGGAGACACTGAAGTGTTTGAAGAAAGATGACGAAACAAATTTGGTGGAAGAAAAATCAAACATGATTCGCAAGTCTCTGGAAATGCTGGAACTTGGACTCAGTGAAGCACAGGTAAAAAGCCATTTCTATTTAGTCTGGTGTCGAAATGTTATCTTGCATTGATACAATATTTTAACAATGTTAACAATTAAAATCTCAAATGTTGGATTTGTAAAGCAGTGATGCAGTTGATGCTAACCCACATATATGTTCAAATATTGTAAGACAAGAGGAATAATACTGGTAATTTCTGGTCCTTTCTAGGTAATGATGGCCTTGTCAAATCACTTAAATGCGGTGGAATCAGAGAAGCAGAAATTACGAGCTCAGGTTCGCAGGCTATGCCAGGAAAATCAATGGCTAAGAGATGAGCTAGCCAATACCCAGCAGAAATTACAAAAGAGTGAACAGTCAGTGGCTCAGCTGGAAGAAGAAAAGAAACACCTAGAATTTATGAATCAGTTAAAAAAATACGATGATGATATATCTCCTTCAGTAAGTAGCTTCACATTAAAACACATTTTATTCTTCCTATTTTTTTCTGTTTGCTGAGGAACGTTACCCTATAAATGTTGGGACCTTTCCACATAGGAGAGTTGTCCAGCCCTGTGATCACCTTTGTTACCCTTTTCTCAAGATCATCTGATCATAAACTTACGAGTTCTTTTTTTGCACTTCTAAATATCATGCTCAGTAGATGATACACTTTTCAGTAACTGTATTAGTTTGAGAAGTAGGGCGGAGAGACAGTAGGGAGACAAAAGGTGCCTTTTGCAATTTGTGGATATGCATAATGCACATATCCATATTGATTCAGTGGTTCTAACTGCTTGTTGTTTCTTGGGATTTGTCTAGGAGGATAAAGACACAGATTCTACCAAAGAGCCACTGGATGATTTATTCCCCAATGATGAAGATGACCAAGGACAAGGGAGTAAGTGAATGTAACTTTATACATTATATAGAGTGAGTGGGGACTAGTGGAAGTTTAGCTGCTTCTTTAAGTCATTAGTGCACAGGGCACCGCATAAAAGAGTAGCTGCAGCATTGAAGCCTGGCAGCTGACTTGCCAGAAACAATAAAAATGATAGTCTTGAAACTTCTGATGGGCAATCAGAAGTTGTACTTAAGTGTGAATATTTTTTTTCTAGTTAGTGATAACCACGGTTTATCATGTCTGCACTGGGGAAATCATACTTTACTCTCAAATTATACTGAGGCTAGGATCCAGTTCTGAAGCTAAGCAGGCTAGGAGCAAGTCTCCCCCATGGTTATAGGTTTGGGCCTTTCCCCAGGTTACATTGGCTTGCTAGATGACAGGGGAAAAACTTGCATCAGCAACCATGGTGGCTGAACTTTTGATTTCCTGCTTTTCCATGAGTTTGGCTACATCCAATCTCATTCTCCTGGGAAACCAGATACTTTCAAGTGTAGAGAATAAAAGAAATAGAACTTGCTAACAAAACATGTGCCAGAGTATGCTCAAAGTAATGTGTGTGTTTAAAAACAACAACACAAGAGTGGTATGATTAGGTATAATAACCTCATGGAACTCAATCATAGTTTTGACAGTTAAAACATTTGAGTGTGTAGTCTTAAAGAAGTTCAATTCATTCATGCCAGTTACATATGAATTTTAATATACTGCTTTCTTCTTTCTAGTTCAACAACCACATAGCAGTGCAGCAGCAGCTGCCCAGCAGGGTGGCTATGAAATCCCAGCAAGATTAAGGACCCTTCATAATCTTGTCATTCAGTATGCTTCCCAAGGCAGATATGAAGTTGCTGTACCCCTCTGTAAACAAGCACTTGAAGACCTGGAGAAGACATCAGGTCATGATCATCCTGATGTTGCCACTATGTTGAATATACTTGCATTGGTATACAGGTTGGTATTTAAAGGGTTTTCTAATGTGTTTGATGTTGCAGCTAGACTAAAATACAGTGCTTGGGTGGTGTTTTGAGTAACAATGTTGTATTTTAGTTTGAGGACATGGCCTTTTTAGGGAGACAGTCATGCAACTTGAATAATATTCCTAGATATTTTGAGTTGGGATGCAAACATTCTTACTTCAGCAGTAGTTTGCTACTAGTGGCTTAGGAACGGAATCTGCATTTTGTTTTGGTGCTGGTTGGTGCATCTGGTGACCTTAGATTGGGAGGAGAGCTGGGTATACTGTCCATAGTATCCTGCAGTTGTTGTCCTTTATAGAGATGTAGAGGGCAGCCTCAGTTTATCAGTGTGGTCTGTTCTCTATATTTGTTGCTCTGTTCTAGTACCTGTTCAGGGAAGCTTTTAATGGTTGATGTATTGCAGTATTTTAATATTTCTTTGGAAGCTTCTCAGAGTGGCTGGGGAAACCCAGCCAGATGGGCGGGGTATAAATAATAAATTATTATTATTATTATTATTATTATTATTATTATTATTATTATTATTATTATTACCTAGCCACTGTGCTATAACTGTTGAATAATAGGAGCTTCATGGGTTGAGACATGAAAAGAGCACTGGATTCTGATAGTTTCATATACTTAAGATACTGAATCCAATTCTTGCTGATTTTCCTGACTGAATTCTTAAATAATATCTTCATGAGATATGGTTGTTAATCATGACTTCTCTAATTTAGGGACCAGAATAAATACAAAGATGCAGCAAACTTACTGAATGATGCTTTGGCTATTCGTGAAAAGACCTTGGGCAAAGATCATCCAGCGGTTTGTATATTAGATAGTTCTTTTGTTTCTTCCTTCTTTTGTTTCTTCCTTCTTTGTAGTACCAAGTCCTTTTGGTTTCCTTTGAAACTCATTTTAATATTAACTCAACAGGAAGGTTTTTAAGCCCTGGTTTATCGTTAACTTCATTCAGGTAGGTAACTCTCAATATAATGTCTTGCACTTTTAATAATTAAGCACAAAACTCTTTCAACATTGGTCCACTTAAATTACTTTCTTGCACACTTGTCTGATTCTGAATCATTTACATGATGAATTTACCTGAACTTCTGAAATATTTCAAATGTGTTTTTGGATTGCTTTTTTGGAGCAATAGTAAAAACTTTTGTTCAGTGTAAGCCATTTATTAAATACTCTCCATTGATAATTTCAGATGTCCTTTCTATGATATGAAACTATGTCACTTTCTAATATATATCTTTTGAATATAGTATTCTGCTTCATCAAGCAAAATTGTGCATTTCCTAATATTCCTAGCCCAGTGCTTCCCAGCCAGTATGTTATAACTAATCTATTATCCACTTACTTGTCCCAGTTAAGGTTTTAGCTCTGGGCCAGTACTTTCAAAACATAGACCTAGTCCTTTAGCATGACTTACTCCATGCTTGCTGGATCTTACTACTTGGTTCTACTTAACAACCTAGTAAATATGTACAGTCCAACAACAATTTGCTACTATTTGTAGGCCGCCAAAGGTTGGGCATCACTGTGCTAGTTAAGACACATTTTACGTTTCCTAGTTTCACAAGTATTTAAACATCTGAATTACAAATAAATGAATGCTCTAGGAGCTGCTTAATTTTTCCCCAGATAATTTCAGCAGGTATGTTAGTAGACCTACATAGCTTTTGTCCTCATTTTGCAGGTTGCAGCAACTTTAAACAATCTTGCAGTGCTTTATGGAAAAAGAGGAAAATACAAGGAAGCTGAACCATTATGCAAGAGAGCATTGGAAATCAGAGAGAAGGTAGCTCAGAACAACTGTGTTATTTTTGCTGACTTCTGCTTTTTCAGTCTCAGACTTGTCATGATATTGGCTGTGTGTGTTGGTTAAAATAGAGATTGTGCGTACAGTTGTGCACATTTAGGATTTTATTGCAATGATCTATTAAGTTTTTTAGAAATCAATTCACTGTATTTTAAAGATGTATCAGAACCTGCTCTCAAAAGACAGGAAACCCCATATTTGTTACGAGGCAGGGAGATCAGGTATCAAGGAACATCTCAACATCTCAGATGGGATAGTTTATTCCCGCAGTGTCATGACAGCTGTCACACATCACAGTTCTGAGCCACTTTTCCCTGCACTACATACTATTGGCTTTGAATGCTATTTCTCTGTCTTCAAAAACAGCAATATGTTTTGGAAATCTACCTTGTGCCTATGATTTGGAATGCAAAACAGATGAAAAGTAGGCATTGGGGAGCACCCTAACTTTCCAGAAGTCTGCACATGTAGAAGTGGGGTGAATGACAGAAAAGGAAAGGAATTAGTGTGGAAAGTAGTAATCCTCCCATAGTGTAGGCGGAAGTTCTTTGTGAAGTTTCTTGTGGAGGTTTGAAGGATTTATAACTGGAAAGTTGTGATCTGGAATATTTCCCATACCCCTGTATAATATGTAAATAATTCTGGCTAAATTTGTTTAATATAATGTTTCCAGAGGTGGAGTATAAATAGGGGCTTGAGTCTAGTTGAGCCAATGCTAGTGTAAATATGACTGACGGCTTTTTAAAAAAAGTTTATATTTAAAAAGCAGGTGATACAGTGGTAACCTAGTGTTCCTTTATTTCTAGGTACTGGGAAAAGACCATCCAGATGTTGCCAAACAGTTAAATAATCTGGCCTTACTATGTCAGAACCAGGGTAAATATGAAGAAGTGGAATACTACTATCAACGGGCACTTGAGATCTACCAAACAAAACTGGGGCCGGATGATCCAAACGTAGCAAAAACCAAGAATAATTTGGTATGTCTGCACAGTGACGTATATAATAATGAGACGTGAGCTACTGTATTTCTCATTTGCTGAAAACATGGGCTTGGATCCAAAACACCGAGCAAAATGAAAATAGTTCCTAGTGCCAGTACTGCCACACTAAGACTTGCACATGTGCTAGAGGAAGACTTTCAGCAGTGATATATTATACTGTGTCTTACAATTACTGCCCAATTAGCATAGACAATATTGAGCTAGATAGACCAATGGTTTAAGTTAGTTTCCAATGACTGTTATGCAGGCGGAAAAACACATTTGGATCCAACCCCTTGTAATGTGCTAAGCAAGTTGCCTTCAGATATCATGTTTCTGAACTTCTTTCAAATCTGACTGTGCTCATGTCATCTCTTTCAGGCATCCTGCTACTTGAAACAAGGCAAATTTAAGCAAGCAGAAACTCTGTACAAAGAGATCCTTACTCGTGCCCACGAAAGGGAATTTGGCTCTGTGGATGGTAAATGCTTGTATTATGAAGGAAAGTTAGTTCATGTTGGAGTAACTAGGGGTTGTGAATAGGAGAGACTCAAGTCCTTTGTTAATTGTAAGAGGTCATGGGTTGTTGCTGCTTTTAAATAATGGCAGAACATATTGAGAAATCATTTTAGAAATCGTTACAGGAAATGCTTTGACAAGTTGTTTAGCCATTGTTTCTCTAGGTCCGTCCCCCCCCCCCATGCTGTATGGCAAACCATCTTTAAAATTGAGAGGAATTTTCACAAGCAGTTTTTGATAATGATAAATTGAGTAAGCATGTAATGCTAAATCATTATTTAATTCTATGTGCAGAAGCTGGCAAAAGCATGAGCAAAAGCATGAGCCTTGAGCTCCCTCTTTCCCTTGTCCTTCCCTGGTGGCAGAAGAACGTCTGCAAAATATAATTTCATTTCTCACAAATCCTTGCTTGTTGTTAAAGTATTAACCAGACATTTTGGTTTGAAACAAACTCTAGTCAGTTTCTGAACAAACCAGATTCATAACTCATGGCAGAAGCTTGCTTGTTTACTGCGTAGATTTTGTTTTAAACCACAACTTGTAGTTTGTATGTTAAGGATAAGCCAGGATATATTGAAAGTGAAATTAAGTTCTGCAGACGTCCTCCTCCTACCACCTGTGGGTCGGGAGTGGGGGGAGAAGAGAAGTGAGTATGCAAACTCAAGGCTTTCTTTGGGTTCATCCCAGCACACACATATTCCAGCTTGTGCACCAAGTGCTAAGCCATGGTTTAATATGGTATGCAAACTGAGCCTCTAGGGCAGGCATAGGCAACCTCAGCCCTCCAGATGTTTTGGGACTACATCTCCCATCATCCCTGACCACTGGTCCTGTTGTTGGACTTGTTCCGTATCTGCTATAGGGTCCCCGGAGCACAGATTCACACAAAGCGGCAAACATCCTTACAGGTTATAACAGGGTTTATTTGCAATGCATATGCAAAGCAAAGGTGCAGCGCGATAATCTCACAATCTGCACATCCCCCTCAGGGTGTGCCCACTTTTTATAGACTGTACAAAAAAACCCCCAGAGAGTGAGGCTTTACATTCTTATCCAATCAGGCCCTAACATTCCATGTTTCTCCTTTTGAAGGTTAACACTTCTTAATTTACTCATTCTTTGTTTGTCTGCCTCCTACAGCCTTCCCTGTCTTGAAATGGTTGCTTTGTTTGTCTGCTTGCTTATGGCCTTGCCCGTCTTGTAACAGTTGCTTTGATAACAGCATGCTGGAATTTCTATTTCTGAGGCCCTTCACTGTTAGCTAGCGATGATGGGAGTTGTAGTCCCAAAACATCTGGAGGGCCAAGATTGCCTATGCCTGCCCTAGGGGGAAGGTGAGGAGAACACTTGGCTCTTTAGTCCAAGCAAAGTCTAATCCTGTTGGGCATGCTTGCAGTTGCTCTTTGGCTCTAGACTTCCTTTTACAAGTCTTGGCAGAATTCTTCAGAGGGTTTTAGGTTATCATGATAATAATAATGCCGAAAAGACTGGCTTGAAGAATCATACATTTTAATTGGGCGATTTAAGGAATTGGTTGTATTGTGAATACACTTGGCAGAATATAGTTTGCAAGCAGTAGTTGCAGAGCACTGGCTTCCTTGTGATGAGTTAATTATGTAAGCAGCTTGCTTGAAGTGTCAAAGTTGTCATTGTGATAAAAGTGACGTCTCCGTATGTTCTAGCAGGCAACTAAGCTTCTGTTTGCATGTGCTGCTTGCAATTCGGTTAACATCAAAGCTGCTTTGAAAGAGCAATTGCAACCATTTTGTAACTCTGATTTCTAGGTATTCTTTTTTCGTATCCTTAGGCTGTGAAAAAAAACAAGACATCTACTTGTAATATGTCTTTGTTCTGTCACAGTGTGATAAGACGACCCTTTGCTCTGTTTAGCTTATTTGATAAATTCAAGGTTTGCATCATTTATATACAATAGTACTGTGAGTGGCTTCTGATCAGTGAATAAAGTGTCCTAGAATTGGGAACATAGGGGGTGGATATCTCTGTAGCTTTCCATAATGCTTCTTTACAGCACAATCCTATACATGTCTACTGAGCAGTAATCTTCACTAAGTTCAGTGGGGCTTCCTCCCTCATAAGTGGGTATAGGATTGCATTGGTGAGCATTCTTTCACAATGCTGGTCTGGCCAAATGCGGTCATTTTATTTTACACAGTATCCCTTACCTTATTTTTACATAGATGAAAATAAACCGATCTGGATGCATGCTGAAGAAAGAGAAGAATGCAAAGTAAGCGGATACCTGAAGCAGAAATTTATTTTTTCCTTATAGTGTTGAAGATAACAATTTAACACACTGTTTGCAATTTAGGGAAAGCAAAAAGATGGCACTACTTTTGGTGAATATGGAGGCTGGTATAAAGCTTGCAAAGTTGATAGGTAGGTACACTTTCCTAAAAACATTTAAAGTATTAAAATAATAATGTTGTTGACAGTGTGTTGAATTCTGGAAATCTCCATAGTGAAGGTAATTGTAAATTTCCATATGGAGAAGCTTAATAAAGGTGTATTCAATTAACTTTTATGCACAGTAGACCCAGCAGAATTAGTGGTCATAAATTTACATGAGTCTACTCCGAGTAAACGGCGTTTCCGTGCACTGCTCTGGTTCACCAGAAGCGGCTTAGTCATGCTGGCCACATGACCCGGAAGCTGTACGCCAGGCTCCCTCGGCCAATAAAACGAGATGAGCACCACAACCCCAGAGTCGGTCACGACTGGACCTAATGGTGAGGGGTCCCTTTACCTTTACCTTACTCCGAGTAAAAGTTAATTGAATATAACCTTAATTCAATTAACTGGTCAATTAACCAGATTCAGTTAACTGGTCTCACTAGTGGAAGCTTGCACAAGGACTTTGGCTAGTGCAACAAGGTTCCCACCCATCCAAATTTGCTGGAGGTGTTAGGAGAATGCCCAGAACAGGTTTTTCTCCAGGTGGAAATGTCTTGATCATGACTGAAACAGTCATCCAAATAAACTGGTGTTTCAATACTAGCTAGAGAGACTTGGCTTTGCGTAAATACCTAGAAAGATAAAATTTGGAAACAGAAGCATAAAGTGACTGGAACATTGTGCAGTAATGGCTGGAAGGCTGGAGCTTCCTAACATGTCAGGAGAGATGCTCAGTGGCTGCTAAAAACCCTACTGGCCGTCCTTTTATAGAGGTGGTGGTTTGAAATCACTGGCTACAATTAAGCCCACCAATACTATATTTCCCAACTTCAGAATGGACTCAGGGTCTTGGATTTATTTTGGGTTGGAGCCTATGGCTGATTAGCATCCTGTACCCTTTTAAATGTGTTGCTGGGGAGGGGGGGGATTATTGTTTTTATAGAATCATAGAATTGTAGAGTGGGAAGGGGACCCCAAAGGTCATCTATTCCAACTCCCTGAAATGCCGGAAACTCGGGATAAAGCATCCATGACAGATGGCCCTCCAACCTCTCCTTCAAAACATCCAATGAAAGAGAGTCCACAACCTCCAGAGGGTTTTGCTTCCCTTTTGTTCTTGTTTTTATTCTATGTATTGTGTGAACTGCCCTGAGATCTACAGATACAAATTTAATAAAATAATAAATAATATTTTAAAAGGTATATTGATGCATGGATGGACTTGCCCTCCTTCGGGGAGTGGGAAGGGGCAGCAGAGGAATTGTCACTTGTCACAGTTTCAGTAATCTTAGTCCTTTCATTGCTGCAATATCCCTCTGTTTCTGCTAATTTATCTGTGTGATATAATAGCTTTTTAAATAGTAGCATATGTGAGGGTGTTCTCTCTTGCATTCTCTCTAGCAAGAGACAAGAACCAGAGAATCATGCATCAGACTTAAGTGTTATATAGCAGGCATTTTTTTGTAATCCTTTGGGACTGGAAAATTGAGCAGGGCTGATAAGGAGGACACTAGGAATATGTGATCTGTGTCTTTGTCAAGGTTACTGCTTCAGAACTAGCCTAGTTATGTAATGGACAGCAATAGCTGCAACAATACATGGTACCCTGGCAAAAGGTCTTTCTAGTAAATAACTGCTTGTGCATTTGCAGACCTATTCAGAACTCTTTGTGAGCATTAAGTGCCCATTATAAATTTATGACGAGCATTGGCTTTTAATGGAATATTCTGCTGTACTATTAGACAGAATTGTTTCAAGTTTGGGAGGCAATGGTCTCCTGTCGGAATCTAACTTTAACACATATTTTGTAGTCCAACAGTTACAACTACATTAAAGAATCTTGGAGCACTTTACAGACGCCAGGGCAAGTTTGAAGCTGCTGAAACATTAGAAGAGGCAGCAATGAGGTCTCGTAAACAGGCAAGTGCTTTGTTCATCAAGCGTTTCACTTCTGATAGTGTTAATCTACAATTATTAGTATTTTGTTACAAAGAATTTGAATTTAACTACAGTGAATCTGAACTGTCTAGAATTTCTTTTTGTACCTCTGCTTGGAAGCCTGCTTCAGTGCAAATCGTGATTTAACACTGATCCGGTGGCAATGCTATATCCTGGTTAAAACATACTGTAGATGAGGGTGGACTTACGCAGATGAGAAAGAAGGAAATGTCATGGTTAGGAGATTGCACTGCCTTTATTGTTTTTCAGAAGCAGATATTGGCAAAATAATCCAGAGGGGAAATCCCAACTTCCATGGGGGGGTACCACCCTGAAGTTTAGTATGAACACTCAGAAATATGTAACTAGATAACTCATTCTTTTACTCTGATTTTTTTAAAAATGTTCCCATTAATGATATTATGTTAAAAAAAATTCTCACTTTTTAAGAAAATGTGTGGAGAGTAACAATAACTTTTATATAAAATATTTGATACGGCCACATTTGCAGTATCGTGTGCAGTTTTGGTTGACATCAAAAAGGATGCTACTAGGAACAAGGACAGAAATCCTGAAACTGCCTTTAGTGGAGGATTTTTAAACTGGGGAAGTAAGTAAGGCCAGGATCTAAGGAGTTGTGCATGCCAGCAGAAAGCACTTCCACTTCAGGAGAGGGGTTTACAATGTTTCCTTTCTAACTGCAGCCCTTTGTCCTGCTTCAAAGGGTCTCCTGACCTTCAGGAACATATTGGACTGTGTGTGTGCACCTGTGCATGTATGCTGCAGTGGAAGGGTGGGAAACTAAAACACAAATGTTTTGCAGAGAATTCCATATGCAGCCCCTTGAACCTGGCCTAAGTTAACGGAATTGACAAGCCTAGTTAGAATATAGTGGGTTGTTGGCGAAATTATCACCTTCAGACAAATTAGTCAAAGCATGTTACTTTTACTAGAACGTTAATTTGTTGGTGTAGATAATATGCAAACAATATTTTCTCCTCAAACTTACCTTTGTAATTCTGTAAAATGTGCTTCATGGTTATGCTTCGTATACAGCTAATGGGTGCTTATTTATTCGGTAATGTTTTGTAGACTCCGTAGTAACTTGATGATAATTGCTCTTCTCACTCATGGCACTGAACTACTTAGTGCAAAGTAAAATGTCTGTTTCCCCTTTACTTGGCTCACAGGGTCTTGATAATGTTCACAAACAGAGAGTTGCTGAAGTGCTCAATGACCCAGAAAGTATAGAGAGAAGGCGAAGCCGCGAGAGCCTCAATGTCGACGTGGTAAAGTATGAGAGTGGCCCTGACGGAGGAGAGGAAGTGAGTATGAGCGTAGAATGGAATGGGGTAAGTACAGTACACAGTGTAAGAAAAAAACCAAACCTAGATTGGCATAGCAGTTAAGTTATCATTCTGTTGTGTATTCAGGGTTGTTCTTGGCTCATAAGCACCTGTAGTTTTTAATGTAAGCAAAAGCAATAAGATCTTGCTTTTGAGGGTAAGTTCTGACCAATTAAGCTTAAATTAAGAAAAACTCACTAAAATTTGGATTTAGATAGAAGTGTTTGAATGCTGATTGAATGTCCTGGTTAATGTATAGGACCTAATCCTTACCAGTGGTTTGTTTTAATACTGGATGCAACAGGATGGCAATTTGTTTACTTTATTATCTCCCCCCCTTTTTTTTTAAAAATATCCCCCCTTTGTTTCAGAAGATTTCCTTTTTCTCTGGTTCACTAGAAAGCACTGATGTGCAATTAAATGGAATTGGTATGGAGAATTAAACCAAAAACTACACACAACATAGGTTTCTGGATGCAAGTTTCTTGCTGTTTCATGGCATCATGATGGTGCAAACATAAAATCTACCCATCTGCTGATGACAAATTGCTGCTTTCCATTTACCTATGGAAGCCTGCCAGATCCTTGATTAAAGTGAGGCCTTTCCTATCTCACGACGTCTAGTTCCACTGCTTAACGTGGAAGGTGTGCCACAGGTTACAATAACAAAACCTTTCTAAAACTTCCCATCATTGTTTAACATGTGTCTGTGAACCTGCTTGTTATTTGGTGTCTTTTACAAGTGAAACCAGTTCAAGATTTTGGTAGTACTGGGATGGTTACTACTTTTGATTTCGGTTATATTGGGCACTGGGCACATACATGGAGTGCTCTGAGGTGCAAATTGCCAGTGTCAGCCTTGTGGTGGTTTAGTTATGCAGTACACGTTTAGTCAGATTGCAGTAGTCATTGTTTTTCTAAGTTTGTCTTGTGGTGTGTAGGTTCTGTTTCATAGTGGAATACTTGTCAGCTATAACTCTGTCATTTGCCAGAGCTTTAGGATCCTAAAGGCTGCTGTAGCTGTCTATATTTTTTGCTCTTTTGATGCAGAAAAAGGTTTCTCTTTCCACTGTTTCTCAGATTGGCTTTGGTGTGTGTTGTCCTAAGACAGTCAATCAGCATATAATACAAATATTATCACCTTAATACTTCCTTAATTTGTCCCCTTGGCACTAGAACTGTGTACTGTACTCTTCCCTTTTTTCTTCTGTAGTTGGCATGCCTTCAAATTGTCAAGTGTGAGGGAAGCATTTTTCCCCGTCCATTTTGTGTTTTAATTAAAAAGCATGCAGGTGTGGGGTTGACAGGGGCATTCAAGAAAATAACTAAACAGTATTTCTAGGTCAGTGACATTCTTCACATTTGATAAAACTCAGAAAGTAAACTTTTTCAGAGTGGAATGTTCCACCTTTAAAATAATGTGGCATTAACGGGTTTCTATTTCATTTAGGTTTGCATGTCCACTTTTTCACTCCGTTTTGGTTACTTTCATGTTCAAGTTCTAAACTGAAGTTGATTTTCTTTCTTCTACATTTCCCCCATTTCATGTTGGCATTCTTACTTTTTCTAATTTTGCAGGTGCTCAGTTCTGCTCATTTCTTCACCATGATAGTAATCTAACAATTATTATTAATATTTTATCTCATTTTGTATCCCATCCTTTCTTTCTCCGTAATGCTCATGACAGTCCAGTAGCTTCCAAACTGAGGCAAAGGGCAGCCCCACATAGAGCACATAGCAGTATTCTAGTGTTGAGGTTACCAAAGCATAGAGTGCCGTGGCCATACTGTCCTTATTAAGGCATGACTAGTATACCAGTTATGGTCAAAAGCACTCCTAGGTACTGAGGCCACTTGGGCCTCTAGTTCCAATGATGACCCAGGGAGTACTTTGAATCTATGTGCCTGTTCTTCAAGCCAGAATGTAACCACATCCAGAACTGGTAACTGGCCTACACCCCAGATGAAGCACTCACCCACAAGGACTCTGTCTTGCCAGGATCGTTTAAGTTATCTAAATGTCATTCAGTCTACTGCAGCATTTAAACGCTGGCCTTGGGATTGCAAGCCACACCTGACTTGGATGTGCTAATCAAACTTCATTCCAAACCCCCAGCTTCCAACAGCTTCATATCAATGTTAAACAGCATGAGAGGGGCCAGCCTGTGGCATCCCATAGCATAAGTGCCAGGGGGCTGATGGGTAGTTCCCCAGTGCTACTCCCTGAAACAAACTTTGCAGGTAGGAACAGAACCACTGAAGTACAGTGACCCCATTTGCCATAAGCCAAAGCTGATTTTGCCTACTTGGTGCTTTTCACTTACGGCTATTACATGCAAGGGTAGCCAATGTGGTGCCCTCCTGATTTTGTGGATTCCCAGCCAACAAGGTCAGAGATTATGGGGGTTGGAGCCCACAACACCTGGAGGGCACAATATTGGATGCCCGTGATTTAATGATTAGCATTAGTGGTTTGATAGCCACTGAATGGAAACTTCCATGTATGGGTCGAAGTGCCTCAGCTGCATGCAAAAGGCTATTTGGGTCCTTGCCATAGATTCTCTTTTCTTCATTAGCATTCATTGTTTTACAATATCGAATCATCTCAGTCCATTTACTGGCATGGTTGTGTACGGGTTTTAAAAACTTTTTACCTCCAGGAAAGCACTTTTCAGCAGATCTTCTCCACTAAGGAACACTTGTGCATAATAATAATAATAATAATAATAATAATTTTTATATCCTGCCCATCTGGCTGGGTTTCCCCAGCCACTCTGGGTGGCTTCCAACAAAATATTAAAATACAATGGTCTGTTAAACATTAAAAGCTTCCCTAAACAGGGCTGCCTTCAGATGTCTTCTAAAAGTCTAGATAACTATGTGGCATGCTTGCACTGGGCAGTCCCATTAGATCTCACTTGTTTCATGTGAGCTCAGAATATGTTCAGTACTAAGGGGAGCTTATCTGCAGTTTCTAATCTCATTAAAGAACCCCTACTAAATTCTAGGGAACTCCAGCATTCCCAGGAACGAGGTTTGGAAATCCTCATTCTAATGAAACACTAAAGCTTTGTAATATGGGTTGGTTGATAGTGCTTTTGGAGTGGGCACATCTCACTTATTTCATAGAAATTAAAGCTTAAATTGATGCACCTTGTCCCAATTGATTTCTTTTCATCACTTTTTATTTTGGCTTGTGTAGTTTTTAAAATTGGAATCTCGCATGCCATAATATACACCTTTCATTTAAAGTAATGTATCTGCTTGCCTTTATTAAACACAGGAATAGGATTTTATATATATTTAAGGAAAATATATTGATTCCTTTAAAAGTTCAAAGTCCTGCGCAATATAGAACCTAGAATAAAAGACAACAGAAGATTTGCGGTCTTCCATTGGCTTTCTTTTGCATTATGGATACTATGAATTTTTTAAGCTGTTGTCTCTGCTGATTTTGAGAATTTGTACGCAACATTAGCGGGTGACCTAGAAATACTGTTAAGACTAACAAGCTCAAAATGGAAAACTGTTGAACTTCTCCCCACAACAGTTTCATTCAGTTTTTTCTCTCTCCATTTCTGTCTGACAGGCCTAGATGCCTTTTCTGATTCTTACACTGTCTCCTGCATGGCGGGCGTGCAGCATCTTCAAGCTCTAACTTCTCTCCACTACTGACTGCTGTGTATTTAGCAATCCCTTAAGATCCTTGTCAGAGCTGCACTTCTTGTAAAAATGGCCACTTCTTCAGTGCTGGTGTCTCTCTCTCTTTGGGGCAAGGGTTCCTCTTTTTTTCCTGTACATGTTTAGCTTTGCCAGATATGTATCTAGTCTTACAAAATGTGGTGTTAATAACCATTTGCTGTGTAACAGATGAGAATTAACAAAACTAAGAATGAACTTGATAAGTAGCTGTTTCACTATGATGAAAGGTAGTTTAAATTATCACACAAGGTGTTATTAAAATGGCATGATGGTGACCTTTACAGAATATACAGGTGGGTTTTTTTATTTAAAAAAGCAAGGCATGTGCTCACAGTGCTTTAAAGTGTATTTAGAGACCTATAACATGGGTTAACATCAATATGGAACTCTGGATGTCTTCACTTATGCTTATCCTAAAGTAGCAGTGCTGTTTAGTCTTCATGTGAAAGTTCAGCAGTTACGCTTTTCTCTACTAATCTTGGTGTTGGGTGACTTTGTGTATTTGTCTTTCTAACTTCTAATAAACTCACTCCAACTGATGCCTGTTTCTGTCTGCTGTGTAGTACTTTGAATTCTGCATAGCTACTGTAGGAAAGGAGGCTTTCTAGAAACTGCAAGGCACTGTTAACTTGCAGTTAAGTACACATGGATTTCTTTGTCAAGCAATAAATATAATAGGTCTTTGGCCATACGAACTTGACTTCTGGAAAAATAAGAACTGTCTCCAAATACTGGGGGGGGGGGGGGAACTGTCTCCAAATACTGTACTATAAAATAAACTAATGTAATGTGAAGCAAGCTCTAGATTCACGTTTTATCTTTCTGGAACACAGTTAAGGACACAAAGTAGAATAACTTCACTATGGAACTTAATGCTTGCATATGCTTTTGTTCTTGTTTATATGCATGTTTATTACATATTGCCCAGGTTAGAGTGAACGAATTCATTAAACATGTAATGCTACTGCTTGGTGGTGGTCTTTTACTGTATTCATGGTTAGCATGGAGTGGTGTGGTGGTCCTGCAATTAAAAGCTTTATATATCCTGTAAGAAACTGCACCTGTCCATAAGGTTTTAATATACATTTGTTAATTTTGTATTTTATCTGTGAGGGACTTAGGAGTTTTCTCTAATCTCTTGTTTCTTTAAGGAAGTGTATGCAATCCTTCAGGACCTTCTCCTGAGTAAGCTTCATTGAGATGTTGCGGAGCTGTGTAACTTCTCATCTCAATGAATCTGGTTGCATAGGGGGGATAATATTGGACTGTGTCTGGAAGAATGCTTGATAAATACAAATAATGCTTTTCATAAGATTTCTGGTGCTCATCTCAGAGCACCAGAGAAGGTGACAGCAAATTTAAAAAACACGCCATTAAATTTTGTTTGAAATTAAGCGATATAATTTTGTTCTTACCATTTAATGGTAGCAAAGTAAGAATATTGGACTGTAGTTGTAGCAACTGCTGAACTGTGACAGAAGGGCAAAGCTTTTGCAGTTTTAAATGTGCTCATTTTTTTCAGGATGGTACTGGATCTCTAAAACGCAGTGGCTCCTTTAGCAAACTTCGTGCTTCAATTAGACGCAGCAGTGAGAAGTTGGTTAGAAAGCTGAAGGGAGGAAGTTCACGAGAGAGTGAACCAAAGAACCCCGGGTAATTATTTATTTCTAGATGTGCTGGAACTCTTGGTGCTGTACCCATCATGCTGTATAACGGCTTTTTCTGCTGTATCTCGTGCGTGAATTGCAGCATAAAATCTGACGGCAGATCTCGCAGAAATGTAACACAAAGGATGTTTGTAGCACTTGTTATAAGTTAGCCCTAACAGCTGGAAAGATTGTTCTCTGTACTTAACAATTTGATTGTAAACAATGGCTCTGTAAAAGCAAAACTTCCAATGTTATGTAAACTCCAGAAAGAATTGCCCCAGAATTACCTATTCTGTCTTGCCACACAGGAAAAATATTGATGCACTTCGCTGAATTTCAGCAGTTTCCCCTTTAACAATAAAATATTAGTATATTAATTCTGAGAACAGGGTTAGGGCATATTTGGTTCAGAAGAACTTAACATACATTTATGAATGTGTGTGTATAAATGTGATTGCGATAGGTTATTGAAATGCTTCATGTTTACTTAACTGGATAAATATTTGCACTTTCATTCAACATTTTTTACATACTAATATCAGCCACTCTACTTTCTGCATAGAAGACAAGTGTAAATTATTGTTGAAATGAAAATTAAGCAAAATACACCAGCTACTCCTTGACATACACCAGAAATATGAATGGCACTAGTACCAATAAGTCTTCCTCTTGAGACTTGCTTATACATGGATTATGTGACTGGATTTGTTGTGCAAAACAGTCAGCTATCCAAGTTTTGTTATCCATGATGTGTATGTGCAGAGATTAGTATCAGAAGAACTGCAGTAGCAGGTAAATAGCCACTGTTCTCTAAATGGGAACTAGTCAGTATTAACAGGAACCTTTTTTTAGGCTTGAAGATATTTTTGATGCTTGTATTCACTGAAGTTGAATACTATCGCTGCTGTGCAAGTTGCAGTGTTAGTTTTATTGTAAGACGTCAGATGGGCTTGTAAAATGACCACTTGATTAGTACAAACCAATGCTCATAATATAGTGTACAAGATTTAAGAGTTACACAGAACTCTGCACGTTGGCAGTTCGGGAGGAGATCCTCTAAAAAGGGGGAAATAGTTGTTTTGAGTTGAATTATATTATTACGCACTTGTCTGCAGATCATTATGGAAGTTCATAGAATCCTAGAGTTGGAAGGGTCCTGGAAAGTAATCTAGTTCAATCCCATGCTAGTGTAGGAAATCCATTGTTGCAGCATCCCTGATGGGGGGCTTAAAAACCTCTAAAGAAGGGGAGTCCACTTCTTTCCAAGACAATCTTTCCCACTATTGAACTGCTTATTTGTAAGAAAGTGCTTCCCTCCTAACGGAGGAGAGGAGTTTATTGTTTTGTTTCTGTTCTTGTTTTTATTAATTATTTTGTGTTTTTAACTTGTATTTTTATATTGTGAATCGCCCTGAGATCTATGGATGAAGGGCAGTATACAAATTCAATAACTAAATAATATTTAGCCCAAATCCACTTGTAATTTAAAGCTCTTTGTTTCGGTCCTATCCTCTGGAGCAATGGAAAATAAATCTCGAAAATCTGAAAGTTCTTCAAGTATTTGGACATAATTAAACAGTTTAGAAGCTTCATCTAGAATTCCATACCACCCAAAGGGATAGTTGTTTTTTTTTCAAAACTTCTTAGTTTTTATTTTAAGTATCTTCAATTAAAGATAGGGAAAAACATGAACGGCAAGATTGTGTATTATCCAGTGTATGTAACCTTAGTCTTGCATTCTTCATTGTGAATATTGATTTGTCCTAATGAAAGTGGTATTCTACCAGTCTCTACAAATATATAGAACTCTGAACAGTTACATATTGGTGTTGCTCTGAAGAATTTTAGCTAAACGTTTTAGATCCCCCACCCCATGTGTGCAGCCAGAAGCTTTCCTACTTTTCCGAATGTCCTCAGGTATAGACTAGGATACAAAGAGCCACTTTAGCCATTGCATAATGATTTCAACACTCCCAACAAGGAGTTTTGACTTTGATTCCCCCCCCCCAACCATATCACATAAACTGGTTTTGAAACACCTGGCTTTTTAAGAGCCTTCATGCTTTTTAGGGTGCTATTGATGAGCAACCAAGGTCCATAGGTGCAGAGAACTCACTGTGTGGTTCTTTGGATATTTTTGCGGGGGGAGGGGTGTCGGGCTGAATTGAGGAAGGAGCCAGATAAGCAGTCTCTCTCAGCACCTTCATGTCTGTAATCAACTATTACTCAATTAACTTTTAACCACTATCCCCGCAATGTGGTGGTATAATTTTCTGATTAACTACTAATCCCTAAAACTGAAAGATGGAACCTGCTTCATGGTTAACATTTGGTTTACTGTTCTTCTGAACATTTAAGGAAACCCAGACTCTCCGTGAGCGTAGTGATATAATCAAGCAAGACTCCTACCTCAGTGATACCTTCTCGAAGGAGATTTCAGATGTGCTGCAATAATACTAGTGCTATTAACCAGTTGTAGATTCGAATGCAAAGGGAAATGCTGAAAATCATAAATAAACCAGTTCTCTTCAGTCTTGCCTCAAACTTGAAAAATGTACAAGTGCACTTGCCAAATTTTTAATGGTCACATATAGCTAGTTAACTTTTTGTTCTAAAATTACTAAATTTATATAGGGACAATTCATGGACATGATGAAACACTGTTTTTTTGTTTGTTCATTATTTAACATTTCAGCATTGCATCTGTGGATTTTTACTTTTTATTTATTTTTTTATTTGCTTAGAATTCGAGTTTTGTGTTCATGCTCTATGTGGTGTGTTATGTATATTTAGTTAACGTTTTTTCGCTTTACTGTATTATTTTTTTATATAAATAAATAACACAGGTGTCAACGCTGCATGGCTTGCTGCTTCTTTGTGTTGCTAACACTTGTGTTGCATTTAAAAACGTGTACATTGTAGTTTTTGGAGGCTTTTAAAAAAATTATTGCTTAAATAAAATCATAGTGGCACTGACACTGTGTAGGTGCAGCCGTAAAGACTATGCCCAACTATACAAGCATGTATAACTTCATTCATAATCTTTATTTTAATTGCCAGGTCACAGATTTATTATAGCCAAATGTCTGCATAATTTTTAAGGATGTGAAATCCCACTGACTTCAGTGTTGTATACACTCTTGTTGGGACTTTTAGACGAACCCTGAGCCATTTTCACTTTGAACAACCAGCTCCTTTTCTTCCCTGGCTAGCAAGAGTCTCAGTTTTAAGAACAAAACAATCTATTATGTGGCACAGAGGACTGCTCTTTGAGAACAGTGCTTTTACACCCTGCGGTTTGATGCAGATGGGTAGAACACTTGTCAGGCCTGGCCGTTGCCTTCCGATTAACCTGTATCAGCATGTCCCCTTCTCCTAATTTGTCTGTGAGACTAAATAATTTGGATCGCCATATTCTAGCAAAAGTGCGAGGGGGTTTCAGTGTAGGTTTCTCAGCAAGGGTCCCTGTCCTGCAGTTTACAAAGTGGCTAGTGAGAGCAGTCCTGTTTCCTAGAGCTATCAATTGGGACAGGTAGTTTCTTCTACACATAGGAAATAGTATACAACTTTTACTCATAATAGACTCATTGACATCACCGAAACCAATTTAAATGTGTCCATTAATTTCAGTGAGTCTAATCTGTGTAAAAGTTGCACATTAAGGGTCTGCCTGCAAGGAATGCATTTTGGAATTAGCGTGACCGTTTTGATACAGCATTGTGAAAAAGATTTGGAAGCTAATGTTATGGAGAAATATTAATTGCTCACGCATTGCTCTGCAATATAGGTGGTGGCTACTCATCTTACAATGAACGCTACCTAGATTTTTTGAGGCACTTTAAATTGCAATATGGTTAAATGTTGGATAACTTCTTTAAAAAAATCCTTGAACCACTATGGGTATAACTTCACATACTTTTGTAATACATATATTGCAGCTATAAATTTGTTAGTTGTTGATGTGGCAGTGTATTAACAATACCCTCTGAAACTGAGAGCTTCATTTGATGATTGTTAGAGTAGCAGAGCTTTCACTGCCTTGCACAAGTTTCACCCCACAATCCAGGCAAGACAGAGATTGTATTATCTATCCCATTCTCCATTAAAGTTATAAATCATACCAAAACTTTGAATATCCAAGCCTTAATTATGTAGAAGCCCACCAAGGGCGCTGGTTAAATGCTCCTTTTTGATGGGTTTGCTAATGCTACTTATACAACTTTATCTTGGGTAGCTTATTGATTTTTATTTTTTCTAAGAGACTGGACACCTCTCAGATTAAGATCAAATTTAGTAACTGACATTCTGCAGATGGAATGACATCTAGTGTTTCCTGAATGTTTTTGGTGTCTTAGCTTTGATTTATTTTAGATTAAGGAAGATGCATGTGCGCCAAATGTTATCTTTTAGAAGATATTAGGGGTTACATTGCAGTAAAATTCTTGTTGTATACATATGTGTTCAAAGCGCTCCATTTCAGCCCTTCTGATTGGTTTATCCTTGCATGTTCACTGTCCAGCATGAAGCGTGCCAGCTCACTGAATGTTCTTAACATGGGTGGCAAGGCAACTGAAGATCACTTTCAAGTAAGAAGCCCTATCATATTCTTAATGCAAGTAGATGGTACTAGCAGGGCTTGGATTGAAGAATTGGATCAGTCACTAAAATGGCAGCAGTTTTGGATTATTCCTGGTTCTGATTTCAAACATTCAGTCGGCTGTTTAGAGACTGGACCATATGACACAATGTTTGGCAGTACACTGTGATGAACTGCTTTGCACATTTTTTGCTATGTAAGCCAAACTCCTTAAAAAGAAAAAGTGGCAACTCTGTAAACAGCTGCTTGCATGTGTGAATGGGTCTTGTCATGTACTGATATTGTAAGTAATTCAAAAATATTCCTATAGGCACCCTGTAGAGTCCCATAGCAGCTAGTGGAAACACTAGATACTTGGGCCTTACAGAAAACAGTGGGCTAGATGATAAAACTGTTCCCAAACTCTACGCCTCAGGATACACTTGGGAATTGCATGGGTGAATGCTTCTTATCTATTCGCTCTGCTCACATGAAAATCCCATGGATATGAATTCTTGTTTATGTCCTCCTGGGAAAATCTGAAAAAGTCCCATTAGGGTGAACAAGCTTACATTTTTTCAGGCCTAAACTACTCTTATCTGCTCCACCTGGAGCTGCTTTTAATAAGGGATCAGAGACTTGATACTGGCATAGAAGTTAGCTACATGCCCTTGCACAAGTGGGAGTAGGCAGGACACGCCACACCTGTCTTGTAGTATATTAAAAGTGCTAACAGAGGCTGATTGAGCTCTTGAAAGCTTGAGCCCCACTTGGCTGAGAGGCCGCTGTGGCTCACTTCATGCTGTGAGCTATCAAGAGAGTCAATAAAGTCCATTTCAGAATAACATCCCTGTCCCTAGCTTTGAAAACCAAGAGCAGATGGGAAAACTGTTCTTGGCTGCTTAGGAATGCAATCTCCCTTTCTCAGTTTTGTGAAAAGATGAGCACCTTTTGGACGTGTTACAATAATTGCATGCTGTATTCTTCCACATTGTATAGTGTTGAAAAGTTGGCCTGCGAACAGCATACAGGACATTATTGCAGCTTAATAAATGTCAAATAGCAATGGTTGCTGTGAGCTTTCCAGATAATGAGCATAGACAGAGACTTGCACAGTTGAACTAAAATGAGTTCTAAGTGACAGTGGCTGGAATTCAATTTGGGTATTAGGGTTTTTCAGTTTTCATCTTCTCTACTGCAGGCCCTTGCCTTCACCTGAAAAAGCTGGGCTTCCAGAGCAATTTGATCCAGCACATGGTTTTATAGATGGCTAGGAATAACAACTGCTTCCTTGAATGAATGCAGAAGAAACTGTGCTGACACAGGCCTCTTTAGAAACTAGGCAGCAATTTTTTAAAATAAGGGTTACTTTTAAAAGTTCACCTACTGAGTGCTTGCTGATGAAAAAAATATACTGGGGTGACATTAGGGCAAGCCAAGGCTGCAAAACAGTAGCCCTTGCATACCATTTGCATGAAATAGACTTCTCATGTGCCAAGATCCTAGCCTGTATTTCATATAACACCTTCACCGAAATTACTAGTGTTCTGTATTGTGCCTCTTAACTAACACATAACTGCAACTAACTTGTGTGAAGAAGTAGCGACTGCTTCAGTACTAACCTGATGCACTTGTCGAAAAGTTTACACCAAGGAAAGGGAGCGAGTCTGTAAAGTAGCATTTCCAGTTGTTCAAAATGTTATTGTGTTAAGTTCCAAAAATAAATCCATGAAACACAATCCAAATACTTTGAGGAAAAGAAATTCCGCTGTTCTTTGGATTATCTTACCGTTTGAAAAAATAAATGGCAATTGAGAGGTTTTTATTCTGAATTCTTTAATCAGCACCGGATCTTTAATACAACACCAGAGAGAGGTGTAATAGGGAGAATTCCTGCCTTGAGAAATTAACCGCTGAGGCAACCTGATCTCATGGCATGGATGAGATCTGTGCTACTCTTAACATTTTCCAATAAACACGCATTCTTCTTACACAGAGATTATTTGTGTAGAAAACTGTATTTTTTAAAAAATGGCTGTCAGTCGGAGAAATATTTCACCTTCTGGGTCAAGTACATGACACAGCACATACACACAGAAAATTGCAATAAATTGTATTGGATAAGGTGAAGCATCAGCTGCTACTGCTTTCAGAGTACAACATTTTGTATTCTCTTAAGTTGGCCAAGGTTGCTCTGAATTTCACCACTTACAAGGCATCTGTCTCCCATGCTAGGAAGTGGCTTATTCATAAGGGCTGTGACACGAAAGACCATATATAGTGGGGGCTCTATTGCGGCCCGCTCCTCATGCTCCTGGAAGAAACAGTTCTGAAGGTTGGAGAGGACTTGTCACTCATATGCACACACACTGCCTTTGGCAGTCTGGCCATGAGATTGGAAGCATCTATTTTCAACCAACTGTGTTAGAATTAGTAGAACAAACTGTGTCCTGACAAGCCAAACTTTTAATTTCCGATCCTGGCTTGTTCAGATAAACCATGGTTGAAAATGGACATTGATGCACTGGAGGGGAGGGGAGGGGAGGGGAGTGGGCTTGTGTCTCTGAATGCTAAACCATGGCTTAGCATTTTGCCCAAACCAGAGCTTTGTGGGGAGAGCTAACTGTTCATGTTCACAACTCTTTCTATTCCTGCTTGGATTAGAAATACAACGCAGGCACTGATAAAGATGGTAAGAATTATTCCCATTCCAAACTGGAGCAAAGTTTCCTATTCATATATTAAACCACTTTGAAACTTGGTTTTTAAAAAAGCTTAAACTAACGGTAAATGAAAAATACTTGTCTGTTTTGTTCTTATTCTTGATTCTTATTATTCATTGTTCTTTTGTTTTTCTCCAGCGTTTGTATTTTAAATGGTTGGGATTGTTTTAAACTGTGCATAAACTCTTTCCATTCTTTTTCCCCATGCAGGGACGAACTAATTGTCTGACAGACTCAAGAGCTCTGAGTGCCAGTCACACTGATTTGGCCCACTGAGGTTCTGGGACAGTTGCTAGCTAAACAAAATTCCCTTGTGAATTACAAAGCACTGAGGTTCAAAGTTTTGGGGTTCCCTGTTACGGTCTTTCTAGAACCATCTAGGTTAGAGTTGTCATTGAGAGGACTATTGTTCCTAGGCCTTTTTAAAATGTGACATTAAAAAAAGGCTCCTAGAGATTTGCTTCTTTGTCAAATATAGAGATGGTTGCTGGATACCCTGTGCTGACCCCTTGGACCCAAGTGGGATTAGCACTGCCCACTAGCTCAAACCAGGAATTTAGTTGCCTCCTGGAAACTTTTCATGGGTGTTCCCGGAAGTTGGTTCAGTTTTCAAGTTCCTTCCTCTGGTAATTCTCTCTGGGGTGTATTGTTTAAGGCCCAAATTTGTTCATTCTCTCCTATTTCGTCTCACCTGCTTTTTTGGCTGAGTTTCTTCTCTTTGGTGATCAGATCACCTTTCCTTGATTCAGTTTTTAAAATGCTCCTTTTTCTTTCTGCACCCCTTCCACCCTGTCTTACAAAGACTTCTCGTAATTCTGGTCCATTCCAGCCACGACCAGAGTATTGGTGGCTGTCGTGTTATGTTTACTTTCCTTGTGATCTAATTGCTACTTGGTGTGTGTGCTTCTGAACATTAAACCAATTAAGTTAATGAATTTTAATGATACAATTACATTGCAATTGATTGAAGCAGTAGCACTGGAGATACACTCTCCACTTCCTGCTTTAAGGCTTGTTTTTTGTGCCTTTCACTTCAATGCTTATTGCGTACTTGGTTTCTAGAACCTCTCTCAGGCTTATATTTTCAAGGCCTGTTTCTCCTAATCCTGCAGCCCCCACCATGGAGTTTTCCCCTATGATCCTGCTTGGGAGCTCAGCCACATTGACATTTAATTGGCCTCCATGTTTTCCTATCTCTCTGACTTTCTTGGTGTGCACGCTGATGGTTACCTAAGGATTCTTGGACGAAATGCGTAGAATTAATTAGATGATTGGACCAATGGAAATTTTTAACTGATTGTTTAATTAAACTATTCTGCAAAGTTAATAGCACAAGAACTGGTCTACTGTACAGTTCACGCAGAATTGGGAAGTTACTCAGTCTTTTAGACAACTCTTCTACCTTTCCTTTGGCCACTTCTCGTCAAGAGTGGCCTGAGTGATGCTGAGAGAAGGGTGATTCGGATAGTGAGGAAGAGGCTTCTTCCACAGTGATGGAGTGGTCTTGTGCCAAATATAAACTCACTCTCTGTGAGCATCAGGGGATCATCCTACCAACTGTTGCCCACCCCCCTCATTCCACAGAGAGGGCACGACACTCTTTGAGTGTATTCAGAGCCTTAAGAGCTGTTGCCAAAACTCATCTATTTAGACCGACTTCTTACTCGCTTTCTTCCTCCCCATGAAGCTTGAAGCTGAGCTATGAAGTCTTCTCCCCCTGCCCTCGCCAGGTGGATTAAGGCTTCCATATCTATGGCTTATGACAGCCAAAGGTTCAGGGTGCCAAAACACAACACAGTTCCAATTAAACAGGGGCCGCAGCAGCCTTTTCAGCAAATGCTCTGCCGCTGGATATCTCCTACATGGGCCAGTCCAAAAACATCTACACCACACTTCAAAATGGACCACAACTATTGTGGCCTTTGGACAGCAGCTACTTCAGCGTGTGCTCCCTCTTTCTTAGACATCCCTTACCACCTTAGACACGATCACCTTTTGAACATCCCATTGGGGTCCAGAAGGCCAGCATGGGAGATAGGTCCACTGCACTCACCAGAAAGGTAATGGCATCTTGGACCCAGGGCCCATGCCCTACTGTGTGGCTGGCATGCCTGGGAAGTTCAGGAAGATCATTGGCACACACCACCTTAATAATCACACTGTCTTTACCCCTGACCTATCCTTAGTTACGGCTTTTATCTTAGCTTGGCAAAACTGCAAACTGAAGCCGCTTTCGGGAGCACCAACCACAAAAGTTCCTAGGAGGCAACTAAATTCCTGCCTCAAGCTAGTGGCCAATGCTAATCCCACCTGGGTGGCACAGATATACACCTGTCAGGTGAGTCCAGTCATTCTACAAAGCTGTGTTACAGATCTCCCTGTTGCAGCCTCCAAAAGCAAGGGGGAAATGTACCCCAATGAAAATGTACTGAAATCTAAAGGAGTGCAAATGTATCCTTGGGGCATGCTGTTTTTAAAGCTGTTAAGGGGATAGTGTGTTGGACTATTTATAATGTTGATGGAATGACTGAGAGCTGAATTAAGTTTATCACTGTATTAAACCAGGATTGTGTACAGTTAGCCTTGCACCATCAGCTATCAGAATTTGCAGAGTACGTCTGACTAGTGATTGGGCTTCAAGGTTCTTTAATAAGTAAAAGAAAATACTAGTGGAATAGAGAAGCTCTAAGACAGTACTTCAGCATGGTGGTTGCAGCCTTTTGGGGCCTAAAAATGAGTGGAAAGAGGTGCAATTATTTTTAAACTGAGAGGGGAGAACACAAGGAATAGGCTGGTTGGGAAGCCAACCACCTTTTGAGTCTTTCCAGTCACGCAGAGCACTCCTGTTTTCTCCAAGATGGAAATACTGTTACTGTTGTCTCTTGAGTTTCAAACTTCTGCCACTGCTCAGAATGGGAACAGGAGGAAACTGAAGCATATTGGACTGTTACACTGTGAAGCAGCTGCTGTGGATAGGGGCCTTGTTGGAAATTTGCTACTAATAATGTCAAAGTTGTACTGGATAGCTGCTACTGGCAGGCTGTTTGTTTATTAATAATCTAATTGCCTGATATACTTTGTGGGTGATGCACTGTCTATTCTCAGGGGACCAACTTGGGAAGAGGAAACGCTTCAGCATTTTGGTTTTACAGTCAGTCTAATAAAATGCGTATAATTTTCAAGTCTGTCTCCATTTTGCTGAGCTATTAATTGAAGGCAGAAAGGAGAGAGTGGAGAGAGAGAAAGTCTTTGTGAGTCACGGCTATATGGTAGCAAAGGTTGCTCTCTGGCCAGTAGGAATAATCAGGCAAGATTAACATCATTTAGTCATAGGATAAGAGGAAAGCAGTTTTATTAGATTGAGCTGAAGATATTTAATGTTGCTAAAAGTGCTTACCTATTTTGCAGAATTTTTTTTTTTAAATAAGCAAGCGACTTGTCTACAGAGAGTGCATCTGTCAAGGTTTGTGTGTTGAGGTATATCCATTGAATTTTAAATGACAATAGCTGTGTGGTAATGTCCTGAGACCCAGTGCTGCTAAATGGGTAGAATTTTGGGACAGATTGTTGCAAACCACTGAACTTTGAGAGAATTTTACATACCTATTGGTAATAGGGGTCCTTCCATTCTTCACCACCCTGGTCCTGCATATAACAGAAATTGGCTTTGGCAAGTTGGTGTAATGAGAAGCTAATTGTACTTCTTGTCTAGTACAAGCACTCCATTCCTAACTGTCAAGCAACCTTGGGACTATTATAAACGTAGTATGCTTGGGCTCTTAATTGTCCCCCGTTGTTCCTTGAAGATGTCGCCATTTGGCATTCCTGCCTCTGAAGGCCACAGGTGCTTCTAATGTTCCTGTGCTTTCCTATAGCAGTCGAGACGTTTAGGCCTTTTGGTACCAAGGCAGAAATTTCACACATGTGGAACACTCCACAGAGTTTTAGACTCTGAAGAAAATATGCTGTTGTAACATTAAACTAAAACTGTAGATCTGTATAATTCCTCAGAATGAAATTGTTGTAGGCTAATGATGGCCAGTCTGTTGTATATTTACAAGCTGGTGTATGCATTACAGAGGAATTGGGGGGGGGGGGAGACCCTTCCTTCATTCCTGTTTATCTCCTCAATCCGCTCCAGTTGTTTGGGGCTTTTTTTTGCGAAGGGTAAGTTGCAGAAATACACAGGGAGGTTTGTTTGTGCTTGTTAACATAGTTGAGAATGACATTTGTCCCACAACTCCAGAGGTACTTTTGTTTTCAGATGGAACCATTCACATTTTAACTTTTCAGTCGGTATCCGATTGCAGTTGATGACACACTTGCCATGCGCTTTAAGAAGTAAAACTCGAGGTGAATTAAACATAATGTGTGGTTGGCTAGCGGTGGAGAGAAACACTGTCTTCTGCAATGATCCTATAGATAGGCCTAAGCACAGCAGGGAAAGCAAAGGTGCGCACAAATTTAGCGACGACAGCATTCTGTAGAAGTTCCCCTTTAAGACTATGCTAATGGCTAATATTCCAGCGTAACCAAAACTGCCTTTTAGGATCTGCAGGAGTTGTGCTGTGCAACAGGGCTAGCCAGCCTTGTGAATGCATCTGCAGATTGTCAGAGATTGGAGAGGAGTCATTGGGCGATTTACTCAGTCACTTGCTCTGTAAGGTAATGGTAAAGGGACCCCTGGCCATTAGGTCCAGTCATGACTGACTCTGGGGTTGCGGCACTCATCTCGCTTTATTGGCTGAGGGAGCCGGCATACAGCTTCCGGGTCATGTGGCCAGCATGACTAAGCCGCTTCTGGTGAACCAAAGCAGCCCACGGAAACGCCGTTTACCTTCCCGCCAGAGCGGTACCTATTTATCTACTTGCACTTTGACGTGCTTTCGAACTTCTAGGTTGGCAGGAGCAGGGACCGAGCAACGGGAGATCACCCCGTCGCGGGGATTCAAACTGCCAACCTTCTGATCGGCAAGTCCTAGGCTTTGTAGTTTAACCCACAGCACCACCCACGTCCCTTGCTCTGTAGCTTATGCCATTTCCAAAGCCTGTGGCAGGTTCATGCTGCTGTGTAAAGCAGCCCTCCGTGGAGTCTTAAGATCACAGTTTTGGCCACACCATGGATAGATTGTGCATCCCTTTAATCGATGGTGCGTGAAGAGACAGGCTTCAGTTCAGCCTTTTCACTTGCACAACTTGTCAGTTAAAACACACACAAGCCCCCTATTAAATGCTCCATTCCCTGTACTGAGCTCTTGTGTTGGGTGCAGGACTAAGTTCCATTTGAAGTTGTGCAACTTCAGTGCATGCTTGATGGGAACTGTGATCCTTTGCACATATGCAAATACCTCCCGCTAGAGATCAGAGCTCTCTACTCACTGCAGAAGCAGTCTGAGTGACAACTTCCATTGTACCACGACATGAATGTTTTTCTCTCGCCAGAGGACTGCTTCCTTTGATAGCTATTACTTATGCCAATTGGGTTAAATCACGCCCCCTAGAAATCCTGTTGAATTGTCATTTCCAGTGCGCACAATACTATGAAGCTTTATGTTTCCCCCCAAGCAATTATAACAAGCACTGCAGTCAATATAGCATGAATTGCAAGTCAAGTGTTGCACACTTTGCCCTCTTCTCAGTAAGCATCTTTGCTACAATGTTAAAGATTACTTCGCTGAATAATACCTTGCGTACACGTAATTGCAATTTCTTGCAAATGAAGGCCATGAAAATCCACGTTTGGCAATTTAGAATTAGAACCAAACAGGTGGTTAACACAAGCGACGTGTTGTGAAAGCACCTAGCATCTACACAATAATGTAAGTTGGTGTACAACTCACAATATTAAATATGGTCATTTCTTTATATTATTTGCTTCCTGTCGTTATACTCCTTTAAGATGCCCTGTTAATATCACAGGACCTACTCTAGTGCAAAACTCCCTGAAAGGGAATTCTAAGTGGGGTAACTTCTAGACAGCATGCTTGCCTATGTCTTAGGGAATAACTCCCTATCTCTCTCTCTCTCTCTCTCTCTCTCTCTCTCTCTCACACACACACACACACACACACACACAGCTGTTTGATCACCACTATGCATGGCTGTGCGACTGTACCTTAAGCAGGAGCCAGCAAAAATCAACTCTTGCTCCAGAAAATTCATGTGTATTACTAATCGGACAAGGTTTCCCATAAGTGTAGTTTTACAAGAACAATTCTATGGAAGCAAAGGTTAAATCTGAAGAAGACCCAAGTGCTATTTCAATGCAAGCCCCAGTCAGGTATACAAACAATACAAGCCAATAGGGCTATTTCTGCCATTGTCAGCAAAATGTAGCTTGGCAAGGGACAAATCGGAACTCACTAAGGGATAATGGAGGGCAATGAGCTGGATGCAAATAATCAAGCTGGGAAAACAGAGGGCTGTTTGGAGTTAAAACTAACAGGATTCCACTGACTTTGGTATATGAAATACGGTTATTTTGTACATAAGAGCCGAAAACGGAAAGTGCAGTGCTGTACTGAAACGGTTTACAATGTTAAGTTGAAATGTACAGATTTGTTTACTAGGGCACATATATTCCTGAATGCTGCTATGTTGTTGTGCTCAAGTCATATGCAGTGTGCGCTTCTCATAAACCAAGCTAGCATAACGGAATTTGGCCTCATGCATACTTCAGAAAAGCCCATAAATACTGCTCTTGATTTCAAATACTGGGCTTTATTTTGTGATTTTGAGACGGGGAGACCCAGGAAATACTAAACCAAGGACACATTTGTTCTCAGTCTGTACATTACAAGGAGCAAAAGGGCCGCTGCCAGAAACAGCAAAGAGCACAGCTCCCCCACCCCAACAGCTTTTCCAAAATCCTTACATATAGATGATATGCTTGGTTTGCTCTCCCACACTTGATGACAAGAGCAGCGGCTAATGGGAGGATAGTGTAATGTCAGGACATTCCAGGTTAAATGGTGCTGTAGATTAGGATAGAGGACGTGACATTTAAGTTGTTGTTTCTGATGGCAGACCTGTGTTTCTTGTACTGTAATATGAAATTCCATCTTCTCAGTTTGAATAATGCGGAGTATTTGGATCACTTACCTTTTGGATGCCTAATCTAAACAAACAGGCATAGCTGAATGTCACTTTAAAGCACTGAGGCAATTAAGGTCAGTGAAGAGTTGACAAGGGAGCAATGTTTTGTTTTGTTTTAAAAAAAAGGAAGTTTTCAACTGGATAAGTTAAGACTTGCACTTCAGCTTTAAATTAGAAATATCCTTTTAAAAAATTGTTGCAAGGTAAATTTAAATCATTGAAGAATGAGTAAAGGGTTTTGCGCGTTGATCTACCTAAACCTGATTTGGCTAGGTCCTGCTTAAATTTGAAATTCTGAATCCCATTCTTGCACGGTAGAAGATGAGAGGTCAGTAGATAAGCCATTAACTCTTAATGCTAAAATATTCTGGATGTTTAACTAGAATTACTGTGCTTTCAACTTGGGGGTTTAGTTCTCTAAATGCACGTCTCCATAGAAAGCAGCCTTAGAACGTAGAACAAAAGATATTGCTTCTTATGTATAGCTTATTTCCACGAAATGATTCCTGATCTTTTTCTTTCAAACCTGTTACAGAGCTGTGGTCCGTTGTGAAACTGTTTAACATGTAAAGCGTCCTTGACATTTTCAAAGTGTAAAAATAAAATATTGAAAGAAAAAGACTTCTGCAAACGTGGCTTTTTATGTTAAGCGTGTTACAAAAGCAGTTAATATTTCTGTTTATCTTTTAAAAGCAAATTTTAAATAACCTGTTCTTTAAAAAAAAGGGCATAAAAGACAAAGCTTTGTAGAATAAACTCATAGTTCTTCGGAATATACAAGGAAACGTCCAAAGGGGCTCCAAAGATAAACTGGATTAAAGTAGTGTCTTGGTCTTATACAAACTCTTATGTTCAGCCTTAACAGATGAAACCAACTGTAAATATTCACACACACAGGTTCTAGAGCAGTGTTTCCCAACCGGTGTTCCGCGGCACACTAGTGTGCCGTGAGACACCGGCTGGTGTGCCGTGGGAGGGAGGCGGGCGAGTCGGGCGGCGAGAGGCGGGGCGGCGGCGGCGAGCACACGCGGGGCGGCGAGCGAGCGAGCTCCCACATCCCATCGCCGCTCGCTTCGGCCGGCCTACTGGAGGAAGGCGCGAAAACCCGGCGGGCTTTTGGGTGGGCGCCAAGCAAGAAAGGCGGGAAGGCTCTGGTCCCTCCCCTCCCGGCGGGGCTCCCGCACGCACCTTTCTGCGCCGCCGCGTCCCGCCTGAGCAGCAACAGGAGGAGGAGGAGGGAGGCCAGCGCCGGCCGGGTCCCCCGGGGGAGCGGGCGCTCCGGGCTGCTCACCATACCCCGCGTCTCGGGCGCAGCAGCCGGCAGTCCGAATGCATCCCGAGCCGCGCTGCTCTCGCCTTGCCTCCTTCTTCGCGCCTCCTCCCGGCTCGCGCGCCGTCCCTGCGCGGATCCGTCCAGCCTCCGGCCGCCGCCGCCGCCCCCTCCTCTTCCTCTCCTTCCCCCACCCACCAACCCGCACGGCGCGCTCCCACCGCCCCCGATGGGCGCAACCACTTCCGGGTCCGCTGCAGCCGCCCCTTCCCCGCCTCCGGCAGCCGAAAGTCCCCCAGCGGAGCCCGTCTGGCCGCTCCCCCCGCTCCCTGCCCACCTCCCGGTGTTGAGGCGCCCTCTTTCATTGCTTCGCGGGGAGGGAAAAAACTTTGACTTTTGTGCGTCCCTCCCGGCGTGACGCTGCGCGCTGACGTCACGGGGCGGGGCTTTAATGGTGGTGTGCCGCGAGATTTTTTTCCGGTAAACAGGTGTGCCGTTGCCCAAAAACGTTTGGGAAACACTGTTCTAGAGAAAGGATAGTCTTACCCTAGGACCAATAAATATAAGATACTTACTCAGTGTTTGCCTCGACAAATTTTAACAAGTTAACCCTCCAGAGGATTCAGATAATACTTAGGCTATTTGTTAGATGCTTGACTCTGCAATTGCTTTAAAACTGGGCTGGTCTTGTCCAAAAATTACTCCCTTTTAAAAGTTTTAAAAGTAAAAATTACTCCCTCCCAAAATTAGTTTTGTTTGCATTTCCCAGCTTAACCAAGGATGCAGTCTGGATGCAACCATGGTAAGCTGCCGATTTTACTACAGCAGCTAAATTCCATTGTACTGTAGCATGAATAAATCTGCAGCACACAAGAAGCTTCACAGTTTTCTTCATAAATTCGGTGGCGTCTCCTTTATTCCTTTTACACCTTCCAAGTTGACTGCATAGTAGCAAAAAGACGGGGGCAGGTGAGGAGCAAAAACCACCCTTAACGTCCGCAGCGCACTTCTGCCCTGGTGTGGCGTATCATTGGCAGCCAGCGGTTGGTCTGTCCTCCGGCTTGCCATCAGCCGCATCAACAGCTGATTGGACCAAGTTATTCCAAGTGCCGGAACTACTCTCTTGGTGGCGCATCTGAAAACACAATAAAGCCTGTGTCTTAACAAAACATCCTGCTAAGTTTAAGACGGGCAGACTTGCCAGTTAAGTCGGGGAACCTCCAGAGATTGCTGGACAACTGATTTCATCACCCCTTACTAAGACCATGCTGGGGGGGCTGATGGGAGTTCAACAACATCTGGAGGGTACCAGGCTCTCCTCCCCAAGTTAAGAGTTTGAGTTGACCCAGAGGCATATCATAGAATAGCAGAGTTGGAAGGGACCCCAAGGGTCATGTAAGTCCAACCCCCTGCAATGCAGGAATTATAGGGCTATGCTAGGGCCTTGGCCTTGTGGAACAGATGGCTTAAATCAGTGACAGGGAACCTATGGCCCTTTTGGTGGTGTTTGCGCTCCCTTTGCCCCTAACCACTGGCCACTCCAGCCCTAGCTAGGGCTGCTGGGAGGGTCACAGTTTCTCTATCCCTGCCTTAATGTCAGTTAAGTGTTGAGTGGTTTTTTGGGTGCACCAGAGCACTGAGCACCACCCCCATACAATACACGGGCACAAAATATGTCAAATTGGATGACCACCCCCATCCCACCCCATGCGTTCAGTATGTACCAAAGGGGGCTATGGAGAATCAGAGCCTCTTGGTGCAATATTGCCACTTGTGTGTCAAATCCATTGCTGCTAGGAGAGTGGTGAACTACCCTTTGTATGTTCTTCAAATGTGTTTGCTGAGTGGGTGGGTGTGTTTGCATGCATGCATGTTGTGTTGTACTCACCCAGGACTACTCTGAGCAGCACCTCCTTTCTCATCCATTGTGTCAGTTACCTAGAATGCGGGGAAAAGAGAGAGCAAGCAAAAGATTTCCAAGAGGGGAATAGGCAGGAAAATGCTCCCCTTGCAATAAAGGATTATGGACAGGCTGTACAATTCTCTCCCTCCCCGCTCCCCCACAAAGAAGGGAAAGAGTGGTGGTGGCAGACAAGGCAACAAGACTCTAGAAGCCCACATCAACATTTTATTATCTGCATTCAATTCCTTGTTGCCCATGGCTACCAGGTAAATAATGTTTAAATGCAAGCAGTGATGGACTAGAACTACAAATTACAGAAATGTAGCGTTGAAAGGGGCCATGAGGGTCATCTAGTCCAACCCTCTGCAGTGCAGGAATCTTTTGCCCAATGTGAGTCTAGAACCCAGGACCCCGAGAATAAGCATTTCATGCTTTACCAACTGAGCTACTCAGGCCTTGCATTTATACTGAGAGACTGCAGCTTCAGTTAGTCTGCACAAGAAGGTGGAGAAAGAGAGAGAGAGAAACTCCTTTGTGATCGAATGTTTCTGATCCCCAATACCAGTTTGAAGTATCTGGATAAAAAGCTGAAACATAAGGGCAATTTTTTTATTTGGAGGCAACTTCCATTGGAATCAATGTACAGTGGTGCCTCGCAAGACGAAATTAATTCGTTCCGCGAGTTTTGTCGTCTTGCGATTTTTTTCGTCTTGCGAAGCACGGTGTCAGGAAAGTTTTGGAAAAGCTTCAAAAATCACCAAAGTCTTTAAAAACCTCAAAAAAGGCTACCACACCGTGTTCTATGAGTTGCTCCTCGAAGTCAAGTCGCAACTGTATTAACGGTGTTAAGAAAAAGGAAACAAACTTGCAAGACGTTTCCATCTTGCGAAGCAAGCCCATAGGGAAGCAGCTCAAAAAACAAAAAACCCTTTCGTCTAGCGAGTTTTTTGTCTTGTGAGGCATTCGTCTTGCGAGGTACCACTGTACCATGATGCATGTTTAGATCGGGCTACTTAATACACTTTTGAATTGGAATGTGAAGATCAGCAGGACTTGCTTCCAGTGGCGTAGCGTGAGTAATTTGCGCCCCCTAACCCGTGTATTTGCGCCCCCTAACCCTAACCCCCAGATGTTGCGCCCGGTGCGGCCGGCCTCCCTTGCACCCCCCACGCTACGCCACTGCTTGCTTCCAGATAAGCAAGATCAATTCCATTTCAAAACCAGATATGTGGACGTAAAACTGCAATCGCATCTGGAAGTGAGTTCGGATAACATGCACAAAATATTCCATGCTGAGCAGCTGATGGAGAAGAAGAAAAAACTGCCACCTCTCACTATTTCCCAAAATAGTGAGCCAAAAAAGAAATAGACTTTTGAGAATGCAATAAATAAGCCCAAGGGCTTTTTGCATTCACACATACATGCCATCATGTTCCACCCCTATCTCGCTTGTGCCGATATGTTCTTATCTGATGTAATATTCTGGTTCACTGTCCCTTCAGTGCATCAGCTCTGCTTACATTTCCCAGAACTGCCAGATAAACCAAAATCCAATTGGGCACATTTAGATCCATTGAAATCCATGCCCACAATGGTGAAATCAAATAAATTCTAAGCTTTACCTGATTAATGCATACCACTGGGACTCGGAACTTGCTGCTTAGCTTGTGAAGTTTGGCTCCAAATATCTGCAAATATTTGGCTTTCAGGATGGAATCCTTGGCGGCGAACTCACATCTGAATAAGGCAGCGATGGAATCGATCACAACCAGGCGAACCATGCCCCTTGAGACCAGCAAGTTAATCCTCTTAGTAATACACTCGTGGAAAGTCTCCTGCAATGATAAGGAACCTTCAGAAATCAGACTGAGGAGGTCAAGGCCTGCACTGTTGCAGGGGGTTCCTCTGCAACCTCACTGGGTCTGTTCTGCTATACTTCAGCTAATAGCTGGAAGCATCTTGAGCCTAAGATAGACTAGTAACTGGGAGTGGCCACTGAGACAGCATAACACTGGTCTTGAAAGACCTACATCGGCTCCCAGCACGTTTTCGAGCACAATTTAAAGTGTCGGTGCTGACCTTAAAAGCCCTAAATGGCCTCGGCCCAGTATACCTGAAGGAGCATCTCCACCCCCATCATTCAGCCCGGACATTGAGGTCCAGCGCCAAGGGCCTTCTGGCGGTTCCCTCACTGTGAGAAGCTAAGTTACAGGGAACCAGGCAGAGGGCCTTCTCGGCAGTGGCGCCCGCCCTGTGGAATGCCCTCCCATCAGATGTCAAAGCGATAAACAACTACCTGACATTCAGAAGACATCTTAAGGCAGCCCTGTTCAGGGAAGTTTTTAATGATTGATGTTTTAATGTATTTTTAATCTTTTTATTGGAAGCCACCCCAAGTGGCTGGGGAAACCCAGCCAGATGGGTGGGGTATAAATAATAAATTATTATTATTATTATTACTACTACTATTAGCATTAGCATTTCGATGGCTGCATTTGCTTGAGACGCTAACATAGCAACCCACTAATCAGCAATTTGCAACTGTAATGCTGCAAACCTGTGCACGTTAACTTTGGAGTAAGCCCCACTGAAACACCGTATTTATTTCCTCATATTTGCATCCTGCCCATTCTGCCAGTGGGAACGCAGAACTGCCAACAAATCTGTACCAAAAATAGCAGCACACAATTGCAAGTTGTACCTTTAGCATCACATCATAACCAGATATGTGAGCAGAATAGAGCAATAGAGGAGAGAACAAAAACCATAGAATCGTTTTGAAAATGCCAGTAAAATACAAAATTAAAATACATATACCTTACTTACACCCAATATGTGGTCCGCGTAGGAGGCAATACAATGGTATCTGGAAGGGAGTCCCGCAACTTGCGGTGTGTGGCCGGACTATAGCATGTGATACAACACAATCTTGCTCTTTGTTACATCAAGCAACTTTTTACATAGCCAAGGAATGAGACAATTCATTTTTTTGTTTGCATTTCGAAAACTGAACAAATGGGGCTGAAAGTCAGACCACTGCTCCATCCCTCCAGAAACTGTGTCCTCTTGAATCTTAAGACCGGCAGCGTTTCTGCACCGTCTCAAGCAAAGGTCCAATTCCAGGGACTGAGCCGAGAACCTTTGGGTGCAAAGTGCAACAGACCCATCCCAAAGTCAATTTAAAATCATGAGAGCTCCACAAATGGATTGCTTCCTGTTTTGTTGTGATCACACACTATATATTTGAAGTAGGTGCCAGGAAACCTTTGGCCTTCATTAAAATGCACATCATCATTGGCCACTGGGGCTGATGAGAGGGGTCAGAGGCTCCCCACACCTAATTTATAGCATTTTTAATACTGTTATTAATTTCTTTATTTCATTCTGACCATTTATATTCTGCTTAGTTGCTACTGTCTCTTAAGCAGTACAAAAAAACCCCCACCCACAATACAATGAAAATAAAAGCCAGTTAAATTATAAAAACCAGATTTGATTTAAATGTCTGCTGGATTTTAAATTTATTTTTTAAGTCTATAGATGGCACCAGAAGTTCCACAGGGCAGGGACCTCAACTAGAAGCACTATTGGTTCCCCATTCCTGGCTGTCAACAAGGATTTCATAGAACTGAAAGGGATTTAAGTTGAAGATTCTAAAAAACTTGGGATGCCAAGATCAGTCATGGCTAAGCCCCACTGAAAGTACAGTGGTGCCCCGCAAGACGAATGCCTCGCAAGACGGAAAACCCGCTAGACGAAAGGGTTTTCCGTTTTGGAGGTGCTTCGCAAAACGAATTTCCTATGGGCTTGCTTCGCAAGACGAAAAATGTCTTGCGAGTTCCTGCAGGGTTTTTTCCTCCCCCCCCTTTTTCCCAGCCGCTAAGCCGCTTATCAGCTGATCGGCTAAGCCGCTTATCAGCTGATCACTAAGCCGCTTATCAGCTGATCCGCTAAGCCGCTTATCAGCTGATCAGCTGATCCGCTAAGCCGCTTATCAGCTGATCTGCTAAGCCCGCTAAGCCGCTAATAGCGCTAATCTGCTAAGCGGCTTGCTTCACAAGACGAAAAAACCGCAAGACGAAGAGACTCGTGGAACGGATTCTTTTCGTCTTGCGAGGCACCACTGTAAACAGAAGCTGAACTTGTATCCCACTGCAATGAATTCTAAAACAGAAGCAAGGTTTTGTTTTGTTTTTAAACTAATTCAAAAAGCATTAATTTTATAGCCCAAGCTATTCCACAGCCGCAGGGCAGCATTTAGCAAATATGTTTACCCTTGCTGTATTTCACGCCTTGTAAGCATGAACATGTTTTAAAAATAAAAACCCACACATGGCAGATATTTATACGAAAAAATGTGGCAGATAAGAATACATTGTGGCACTTTGTAAAAAGAAGAAAAACAAGCAAACACGGTTAGGCAAAAAGATAACACTGTGCCCTACTGGAAAACCAAATTGATCCCCTTGTCGTGCTTACAAAGAGGGAATGATGAACATGCTGGAGGGAATGTTGGTTTTCTGCCAAGTGATTGATTATACAAGGCTGACGTCTCTTCACAATGCAACAAAACAGCTACAACAGGAAACAAACTCTAGGCGTTTATTGCAGTGCAGGGCTTTAGGCGTGCAGCGGTACAATACTGTACAATTCATTCTGCACCTCCCTTGCTCTCGCTGCCACCTTTGATGCAACAGATTGCTTCCTCTTGCTCAATTCCCCCTTTTGCCCCAAGTCTCTGTGGTTCTGTCCACGGTTGGAAGGTGCTTCCCTGCACCCTTGACCCTGGCAAGCAGATCTGCAGAGATGCATAATCACCGCCCAGGAGCAGCCAAAACTGTCCAGCTCTGAATGGACAATCTAGTCTGATATCAGAGGATGCTTAAGCAGGCTGCTTTTGGCTTCATTGGTCTGATGTCAGAGGAAGAGAGACTAATAAGTTTTAATCTAAGTAGGACTGGGGAGACTGTAGAATCCAGGGTGGATTTGATTTAAAGCAAATCGATTTAAATCGCTAGTCAGGAAGATCTGATTTAAATCACTAGTCAGGAAGACTTGGTTTAAAAATAAAAAATTACAGAAAGACTCATTCTTGCTAGTATAATATTAATATTTAACAACCAGGTGAAGGTTTCATTTTTGGAATAATAAATTTTCAGAGTAGTTTTTACAGTTATATCAAAAATTACTGATTTGGCTATATACTATTAGAAATACATAGATAATTATGAAATTATTGTGAGGTTTAATAAGTTAACTGTTTATATTTGGACAACTTTTCTGCTGTACTTTATTGGAAGGAGAAAAATAATCATTAATAACAATTTAAACAAATTATTTAACTAAAACAATAACATTATAGCATATGTATCCATGTTTGTTAACTGATGTGGTTAAATGATATATACGATATCTTTATTGTCATTGTCCCTTGCGGACAATGGTTTTGGAAGGGGGGCTTAGACTGAGTTTTAGCACACATGAAAAACTTAAAACTAATTATTTCCAGTTGAATAGCCTTTGGACTAAATAGAAAACTATCTTTAGAAAGATTTTTCCTCCAAAAGCATTTTATTTTAAAAATCCCATTTAAATTGGAAAAAAATCCCATTTAAATTTTAATAAATCTGATTTTTTAAAAAAAAACATTGATTTTATCCACCCTGGAAGAATATAATGTCCATAACTTTTTTTAAAAAAAAATCAAAAGAGTGCAGATTCTGCATTTTAAAAAAATACTAGTGAAATTCTGCTACTTTGATAAATTATGCATGTTTGTGTGCAATTTTAATTTTTTAAAATTATTTTCTGAATGTGCTAACGAGAGACGAGGAGATATGTAGGGCAGCAAAAACTTTAGTCAATCACTTCATAGCTTCCAAGATTTCAGCAGCAATACCTACACACTTTCAAGTACCTTTTCACAGCCCTAATATCTAGAAACTTTCGTTTTTGAAAGAAAAACGATAAACCATGAAAGTTCAGGTTCCCAAAAAACTAATTTCTGCATCCAGCAAGGACTTCACATTTTTGCAGGCTTTCCCATGAATTATCACCCCAACTGAGGTGCTGAAGTACTGGGTACCAGCTGTGGGATTTCAAATGGTACTGCTCTATGTGTTTTGCACAAAGCAGAGATGGATCCTTTAGGTGTCATAACTAACTTGTCTCATTGGTTTCAATGAGATTTCGGTTCAACTACCCTAGATCCATGTAACCCACCAGCCAGAAACCTGCTCTGCAACTCACCAGGTCTGCGGCATGCTCAACAAAAATACCACTTCCAAATTTTATTTTCTGCACCACATCGGGCGAAATGTTAGCCCTCGCTTTGGGTTGCTGCTCAATCAGTTGCTGCAAGCGCTTATTTGGGAAAACGTCTTCTGTACAAATGTAAACAGCACCTGCAAAATACAGAAGGGAACTCCTGGAATGACAGGCTTTCTATCATGGCAGCAGGGTGGAAGAATATACCAAGGCTGTTGGTTTTCACTGGTTAAATCACACAGAGGAAACACAATCAGCACTTTTGCTGTAAAAGCAGTGGTATGTCAACCTGTCAGAAGTTTCAATGTTAGGCTGGTTGACCTGCATTTTGTGGGCACAGCAAGTGGTACAAAATACCGTATTTTTCTGCGTATAAGACGCCCCCATGTATAAGACAAAGGATGCGGTTGGCGCTGTGGTCTAAACCACTGAGCCTTGGGCTTGCCGATCAGAAGGTTGACGGTTCGAATCCCCGCGACGGGGTGAGCTCCCGTTGCTCGGTCCCAGCTCCTGCCAACCTAGCAGTTTGAAAGCACGTCAAAGTGCAAGTAGATAAATAGGTACCTCCCCGGCGGGAAGGTAAACGGCGTTTCCGTGCACTGCTCTGGTCTCGCCAGAAGTGACTTAGTCATACAGGCCACATGACCTGGAAAAACTGTCTGTGGATAAACGTCTGCTCCCTCAGCCAGTAAAGCGAGATGAGCGCCGCAACCCCAGAGTCGTTCGCAACTGGACTTAACTGTCAGGGGTCCTTTACCTTTTATGTACAGTGGTACCTCGGGTTAAGAACTTAATTCGTTCTGGAGGTCCGTTCTTAATCTGAAACTGTTCTTAACCTGAGGTACCACTTTAGCTAATGGCGCCTCCCGCTGCCACCACGCGATTTCTGTTCTCATCCTGAAGCAAAGTTCTTAACTCGAGGTACTTTTTCTGGGTTAGTGGAGTCTGTAACCTGAAGCGTCTGTAACCCGAGGTACCACTGTATAAGATGCGCCCTATTTGGGGGGACTCCAAATTAAGAAAACACCCTTCAGCACTACCCCGTGTATAAGACGAGCCCCAATTTTAAACCTAATTTTTTGGTAAAAAATGTTGGAAAACTAGCCCCCTCGGGAGAGGCTGCCCCCCCCCCAGGTTCCCGGGGCTTGTTTACCGGTGATCTATCCTGGCTGGCATCCCCGCAAGTCCGGGAAGATCTTGATAGGCGACATCTCCCAGCGTGGAAGATGCATACCCCCTTTGTTCCTTGCATACCAGCAGGAGAAAGAAGAAAGTCAGAAAGTCTGTTTCATCTACGGTTTATTTCTGACTGTACAATTGTACAAAACATGTCCGATCAGTTCAGTCTCCTCCGAGCAACTGCGAGTGACTTCCTTCACATGCGCAAACGGAAGGTCTCATATTACACACAGAACAAATCCCTGTGAACCGTCCTGATAAGAACTGCCTGGTACATTCTTTCCCAGGACTGTTAGAAAATCAAGCCTTTATCAGGAGAAACTGGCCACTCTCCAGGCACCCGGCTTGATCTCCTGGTGACCTCCCCGTCTGCATTCCTGAGCAGGATACAGGCTAGGTCGCGATCGGCGATCCTCCTCAAGCGTGAGAAGAACACACCACTCTTTCCTGCCCCCCCAGGCAGGGGAAAGAGATAGACAGAAATGTATTTACATGCCTTTATTTCTGTCTTTGCAGCGTTACAGAGAAACACGTCTGCTCTCTTCAAACTCCAACAGCAGAGAGACACAAACTCCACCTCCTGTACTTCCTGTACAGCTCACACCACACTCTGAGCCAAATCCGGTGCTCAGCACTGTGAATAGACTGTCCCTCCGTTTCCCACGGAACAGTCCCAACATTCCCATTATGTTTTGCTTTTAAGCTAGCAGCTGCTCGCGGCCGCATTGCTTCTATATCGTAACAAGGACTAGTCATATCATGTGATGTCAACATCAAGCTACTGGTTTGCAGCTGCGTTGTACTCATATCCCAACATAAAAAAAACCCTAGTCTTATACACAGAAAAATATGGTATATCTGAACAAGAATGGAAAAGTCATGTTGCAAAGTGGGCTGGCAATGCTCAGTGGAGCCTCAAGCCCCTCTCCATAACAAAGCATGTAGTTGAAGCCCAATGCAGAGCATCTTGCTCTTCCAAAGGATAAGCAAAGCCAGAATAAACACTATGCAGAATAAAAGTAGTGCACGATTATCACAAATCAGAGAACTTAAGATGTGCCAGTTGAAGAATTTGATTTATTTGGGCACAGTTTTTCAAGCATGCAGTACCTCTCCTACAGGTACTAGGCACGCCAAGCACATGTACAGAAATGTATGTTTCTTACCAGATTCCAGTCCACCGTATTTGTACGGATATTGCACAGAAAGGCTCAGTTGCAAACCAATCTGGGTCTTCCCAGCAGAACTTTCGCCAGCAATTTCGGTGATTCCTGCAAGGGGAATGCCGCCTTGTAGCAAGCTGTCCAGAATCGGGCAGCCCAGACTTAGCTTCTGGTGTTGGGAAGTGTTGTGGTTTCTGTCCTGGAATAGCTGAAGAGCTAAAAGGAGGATTCAGGAAAGAAAAAAGCTGGTATTTCCATCCCCAATCCCTGTGTAGCCATATCGAACATAATAAAAATTTTATATAAATACACACACACACCCTGCCCACCTGGCTGGGTTTTTCCAGTCACTCTGGACAGCTTCCAACAAATTAAAACAGAATATGACATCAAACATTAAAAACTTCCCTGAACAGGTCCAAAAGTTATCACAATTTACGTTGATCCCTTCACATCTGCTAGATCAGAGAATCTTCCAATTTCAGAACTCCCAATTGGGGAAGGACATAACTGGATAAAGCCATACATTCATATCCACGCTGCAAACTCATGATATTTCTTTAAATGTGCATTTAAAGAAACATCATGAAAAAGTAGAACTATTTACCTGTAAGCACAGAGTTTTTCCTTAATGCACCAGAAATGGCCCTTAGCAGGTACTGTACATCCGTACGGGACAGATTTGTCAGCCTTTGCAAATCTGCTCCTGAAAGGTTCATAATCTCTTGGATAGATTTGATTTTTGCTGAAATGAGAAAAGTGATTGAACATAACCTGCTTAGATTTTTTTAAAAATATGAAATGTAGTAGTAGCAGCGGAGTACAGCTCTTGGGCATGTGTTGTATTTTAGGCCCTTAGGCTACAGTCCTACACATACTAACCTGGGAGTAAAAACTTGTTGAACTCCTCAGCCTTACTTCTGAACAGAAATTTACTGTATTTTCGCTCCATAAGACACACTTTTTTCCTCCTAAAAAGTAAGGGGAAATGTGAGTGCGTCTTATGGAGCAAATGGCGATGCACAGAGAGGGAGAACTGCGCAGCGCCCCTTCAGCAACGTGCCTGTCCTGCGAAGTGGGAGGAGGAACAGAAGGGGCTCCTTCTGTTCCTAATCCCGCTTTGCTGAAGGGGTGCTGCGCAGCTCTCCCTCTCTGTGCAGCGCCTCTCCTGCGCAGCGATCCCGCTTGCTGTCCTGGCTTCTGCCTTAGCCGTGCGCAGCCTCTTCAGGCAGGGGGAGCCTTCATCCCGCTGCCCTGAAGAGGTTTGGTGTGGCTATCCCAGAAGCCAGAACAGCCAGAGGCTATCCCAGAAGCCAGATCCCTCTTGCTGTTCTGGCTTCTGGGATTCAGAATATTTTTTTCTTGTTTTCCTCCTCCAAAATCTAGGTGCACCTTATGGTCTGGTGCGTCTTAGGGAGCGAAAAATACGGTATACGACTGCACTGACAATTACTGTTCTGAGATGAAGTTTCTGTATTTATCACCACCAACATCTGGAAGGCAGCAGGATGGGGAAGTTTGATTTATAGACAACCAAATACAGATCTATATATATCTGATCCCACTGAGATCAATAAGTTTTGGGTTGCAAAGTTGTAATCCTACACACATCTACCTAGATGCAAATCCTATTGGAAAATGAGTGGAACATTTCTAACAGGTCTGGGCTGCATGTGCAATCACCTGGTGGCTGCAACAGCAACCTATCTAGTCTGAGGACATTTCCCCTATGTCGAATGTAGCAAGAGACTTTTTTTTAAAAAAAAACACAAACCCTCTTTATGCCTGTACGGTGATTGTGTGATGTGCAAACATGAGAATAGGAGTAAATAGCCAAATTACCTTTCTTAATTGCTGCAATCACTCTGGGGTTCATGTCAAGCTGTTCCCAGTCCATTTCATCACAAATGCTGAGCCAATATCCTGCAACACAGCAGCTATGGCAAGCGTGGAGAAGAAAAGAATATGACTAAGAGAAAACTTAAGAAAGTTACTTCCCGAAAAAAAGATGGTAACCTCCTTTGTCAGCATCACTACCAGATCTTACCATCACTTCCTCTTTCCTTTCAAGGCTGGATTCTATGCACATGTACACAGGGCATGCTCTGAAGGCACATGAGGTCACTATCTTGATGAAGTTAAGCAAGCCAGGGTTTGGCCCAGTGCCTGGAGAGAACTCCTGGAGACACAAGTATGCCAACTTGAAGGTGACTCAGAAACTACAACTAATCCAGAATGTAGCAGCTAGACTGGTGACTGGGAGTGGCGCCGAGACCACATAACATAGACTGGCTCCCGGTACGTTTCTGAGCGCAGTTCAAAGTGTTGGTGCTGACCTTTAAATCTCTAAATGGCCTCAGTCCTGTAGGAGCGTCTCCACCCCCAAATGTTCAGCCTGGACACTGAAGTCCAGCTCCAAGGGTCTTCTCGGTGCCCTCCCTGAGGAACACCCTCCCATCAGATGTCAAGGAGATAAAGAACTACAAAACATTTAGAAGACATTTGAAGGCAGCTCTGTATCAGGAAGTTTTTAATATTTGACATTTTATTATGTTTTTATATGTGTTGGAAGCCTCCCAGAGTGGCTGGGGCAACCCAGGCAGATGGGTGGGGGATTAATAATAATAATAATAATAATAATAATAATATATCATAATAATAATTCTTAGCTCCTTCATCCAGGAAGGACTTCTTCACACAGCACATATTTAAAGAATGCAATTTGCTACCACAATATGTTCTGATAGTCACCTACTTAGATGTCTCCAAAAGAGGATTAGATGAATTCAGGGAGTTTAAGGCTATCGGATCTGCTAGTCACGGTGCTTATATTTCCTCCTGTATAGGAGAAGGTTTTCTTTGAATCCCAGGTGCTGTGGCTCACTAGCAATTAAAGTGCTATTGTGTTCATGCCCTGCCTGTGGTAGAAGCGTAAGAAAATAAATATACAGAAACATATCTAGGAATAAACTTTGGATTGGGTTGCATACTTCTCAGTGTTCCGAATTAGCCACCTGACTCACCTCCAAGTAAATTTGTGGTCCTAAGCACTCTCTAGCCCAGGCATCCCCAAACTCGGCCCTCCAGATGTTTTTGGACTACAACTCCCATCATCCCTAGCTAACAGGACCGGTGGTCAGGGATGGGAATTGTAGTCCCAAAACATCTGGAGGGCCGAGTTTAGGGGTGCCTGCTCTAGCCTCTGCATGTTCTAATGAAGCCAGGGAGGGTTTTCTCCTGCGATTCTTCAGCATTTGCAGCGGCTGCAGCCGATCAAGCATGCAAGAGAGCAAAACTCCAAAGGCCCCCAAGCAGAAGCCAAGGTCCTCTGCAACTAATTTTTATTTTTAAATTTTTATTGAATTATTTTATGTTACAAAAAACAATACAACCATACTACCACTAAATATAATTAAGGAATAAAAATTACATACATCAATATTTAGTCTGTCATTTGTTATTTACCATCTTATTTCCTCCCAAACATTCCATACAAAAACACACATATGTGCAGACACCCACAATGATAATAATGAAAGTAAATATTTCCCCCCCTTTTATCTTACAAAATCTTTTCTTCAACTTTGACTTCCTGTCAAGTCCCTTTGCATATATTTTATCTTACAATCGAACATACACAAAACAATAAACCTTTCTATACAAATTTTCCAATACATTCTGAAAACGTAATAAATCCTTAATTGTCCACCTCGTTTTAGTTCCTTTATCACTCTAACGCTAGCACGGAGTCAAAACTATTATTGTATTTTTGAACATATCTTCTATAACCATCCCATTTTCCTGCAAATTTTCGCTTTGAGATTCCTCTGAGTTTGCTAGTCAATTGAGCCGTCTCCACCAATTCCTGTAATTTGATTTGCCAATCTGTTATTTTTGGAGCCTCGTGATCTTTCCATCCCTTGGCCCCTAATTTAAATTGTGTGCTTTTCCCCCTTGTCCCTGAGGAACAACCACGTTACAACGCGCGGAAACAACCTACCGCAACTGCAACTGCAGCCGCACTCACGCAACGCCAGAGAGCAGGACTTGCATTGCAACTGCAAACCTGCAAACCTGCAAACCTCCCCTTAGCGAGCCATCGTAGCCCGCGCTGCGCGCGAGCCAATCCGGGAACGCTTCAGAGACCTCACAGCCAATCAGAAAGGGCGAAGAGTGTACGGTTTCCTGCAAACGTTCTCTTGCAAACTGCGCACGCGCTTGAGCTCCCCCCTCCCATTCCGCGCGCGACGGGCCTTCACGAGCCGACGGGATTGGCTCAAAAGAGTACCGTCGACGGGCGGGGACGTCCCTCAGCGCCTCCCCGCGGCGGGGAAAAACAACAGACCGAGGTTGGTGGGCGGGGCGGAAAGGACAAGGGCTTTTTGAAAGAGTTTCATTGGGCGGCTTGGACGCCCGTCTTCTGCCCAAGCGGCGCTGATTGGCGGGGGCGGCCTTGCCACGAGCTGGTGGCTTCGGGCGAGTCGCCGAGCGGCGGCGGCGGCTGTGAGGCGAAAGATGTCGGGCCGGGAGGCCCTCGACGCCAAGAAGCTGGTCCGCTCTCCCAGCGGGCTCCGGATGGTGCCCGAGAGCCGCTCGGCAGGGAGCCCCTTCGGGCTGGAGGAGCCGCCGTGGGTGCCCGATAAGGAGGTAACGGAGGCAGCGCAGGGCGGGGAAGGCGAGGCTCCAGCCGCTCCCCATAGAGATTCCCCTCAGAAACCCCGCCTGAGGAACCTCGGGGGAAGGGAGACACCCCCCTCAGAAAAACCTTCCCTAAACTGGGCTTGGCTCTCCCTCGCCTCGCCCGCCTCAGGGTCTCTCTTTCCCCGCCTCGGCTGCAGAAGGAGGGCCCTGCCCTGACAGCCCCCCGGTTGGGCCCTTCGCCGAATGTCCTCGCTTCATATAGATATCATTTATTTGTTCGGTTTATATACCGCCCTTTGTATCCAGAGACCCCAGGGCGGTGCACAGCATTAAGAACATAATTTACGGGGCATAATAATAATAATCAAAACAGAATACAGAACATCACAATAGCACAGTCTCACTGCGTTCCTGAGGGGTTGGACAAGCTGGCCCTTACGGTCCCTTCCAATTATAAAAGATGATCACGGTAGCTTCCCTGCAAGTAGAAAGCCAGCGCCTTGCGCCAAGGTGTGTGCTGCAGCTGGGAGCCATTTCTGGGTGTGTGTGTGTGTGTGTGTGTGTTTCATTCTTTTCAGCATGAAATTTCTCTCTATATATATATATCTAGAAAAATTTCATGCTTAAAAGCATAGGAAAGATTTTGACCTCGGCTTTCGAAGCATCTGGGCAGGCTTGTCTGGACAAGAATGTTTTTAGGAGGCACCGAAAGGAGTGGCAAGGAGTCCCTTGGGAGGTTTGCTGGAGTCCAGCTCCCATGAACCCCAGCCCATGGGTGGAGTTGGACATCCTGCAATGTCTGGAGGGTCATCAGTTCCTCATTCCTCTGCTTGAAATTGACGTGCTAGCTTTTTTTGTTTGCAGGGAGGATTTTTGTGTGTGTTAGTGCGGCGGATGGGGAAGAGCATTCGGAAGCTAATAATCCCACCTGTAATCTGAACTCTATTCTGCTGGTAACCTGACCTGTTCTTTTTGGCCACCTCATTCTGCTAATGTGTGTGGATTTGGCTGCTTCCTCACCAAGCACCAACTCTGAAATTACACGCTCCGAGTTAAGGATCAGCAGCAGTTTGTGCTGGGTGTGGGAGCTGATGAGAAGCCAGCACAGGAATCTAAAGGAGAGGCTAAGTAGCGGGTTATTTTGGCTGTGGAGTTCCTGAGAGAGGTGACAAGCTGGAGGAGATGTGTTAATGGAAGGTCAGAGAGAAAACAGTTGCTGTAAATCAAGATGGGGGATGAGTGGAGCTTAAACCATTTTTCAGCAAAAAGGTAGAAGGAGTGGTCATAATTTATTGACTCATGAGCAAGTCAAGGCCTGAGGAAGACTGAAGGTAGAAGCTGTGGAGTCTCAGAAGTAGGTAGAAGTGGCGGAAGACCAGACAAGTCTTCTGAGGCAGCTGTTGCATCAGGGAACTGCAAGGCGTGGGGGGATCAAGAGACAGAGCAACAGGATGGTTGGGTATGTGTAAAGCAGTCAAAGAGGGAATACCCAACAGAGATAATAAAGAATGTTGGTGAGGGAGTCAGGTCAAATGCAGGCCTCAGAGGAGGGTATTGAGGTGAGATGAGACATGACTGAATCTGAGAGAATGCTGTTCCACGTTCAATAACAATGTCAGGTATGCATGAGCTTAAATGGCTTTTTGAGCCTTGAGACCCTTTGCACCTGGTTAGCAGAAAAATTGGCTTTTATCTTGCTTACAAAGGAATCAGGTTCCCCAGGAACTTCATGTTTATATAAGACAAAAGGATGTGTGAAATGAATTTATTGGTAATCACAGTTTCTCAGTATCTTTTATCAATAATAACAGTATCCATTGAGGGGTCTCTTAGAAAGAAAAGTCACAGGTAAACTTCATGTTGGTTTGCATATTCCCTGTTGTAGTCTGTCTGCTTTGTGTAGTTGAATCTACCATATGAACTATACTGTATATACAGCTCTAAAGCAGGGGTTGGGAACATGAGCCTTAAGATGTTGTTGGACTCCTAAGTCCCATCAGCCCTAGCCAGCATGGCCAGTTGTCAGATGATGGGAGTTGTAGTTCGACAATATATGGAGGGTCCTGGGCCCTCTTCCTAGTTGTACTATGAAATCTTCTACTTGAAAAGTAATGGGCAGGTGAGGTTATTCTTTAAATACCTTTCAGTAATTCCAGTTCTAACTTGTGTGTGTTTTTCTACAGACAAGACTAGGACACAATAGAAGTAAATGCATATAAATATGTTGATGAAGTACTAAATGCATTCCTTTAGTTTTGGGCACAAGTCTTCCCATATTTTCCATTACTATCTTCTAGTGTCCCAGATGCATGCAGTGCAATGCAAAGTTTGACTTCATAACCAGAAAGGTAAGAAGATAAACTCAAAAAATACACCAAAATACGAAATCTTGTTCTGCGGCAAAATTGGCATAGTCACTGGCCATGATCCAGAATTAGGCATATGAATGTGACAGCTGGGCTGCTTTTGGGGGGAAAGGAAAAGTTTTCCCCTGAGCACTTTACTTATAATAGCTAGTGACAAAAGCCCCTCTTTAGTTTTATGTTATAATTTGTCCACCTTGAGCTGCTGCAGTATGAATTGTATTGAAGCTCCTTCCTATGTGTGTATTTCACTCACAGCAATTGTCAGTTGCCATAGTTTAGCAAAACTTGAATGAGCTGCAGTGAGCTTTGGACTTGTTCGCTTCTCCCACTCCCAGAAAAACATCCTCTTTCATGACCAGGAGAAGTTTGGAATCATCCCACTTCTCCTTAACCTCTAGACAAACTGGTCAGCACTATAGTTTGTTTCAGTTAAACCATAATGACTGTTAGCCACTGTCAGTTGGGACAAAGGGTTGTATTCAACTAACATCTACTCAGAATGCAGCCACTGACTAACTAGGGTCCATTTATTACAATGGGTCTCCTGAGGAAAGTCGTTGACTACAACAAACAAACAAAACAGAAACTTATGAATGCCACCTCTCAGCTGTGTAGGGAAAGGAAAGGGGGAGGGGGGGAGCATGAGCCAGAGGTACATTGCAATGTCTTGATGTCTTATTAAACTATGGATTAGTTTAATGTGGCCTTTACCTTACTACACATTAACTAGTAAATATTGCCACAAGGCTGCCATCTTTTGCTAATTTTAAAATCTTGGAGTGGGAAACTTTGACACATCTTTAATCTATATTCAGCTTTCTTTTTTTTCAGACTTGCAATACATAATTATTCACTTTAAGTCATCCTGGGAACCAGTGACCGCTCACTTAGAGTGCTATATAGGATGTTCAGAGACTAAGATAGGGAACACACTGTAGCATATTACATTTTGAGAATAGCTTGCAGGTTTCTGCTCTTCCCCTGCAGTGAAGTTGAGTGCTTAAACATGAATTTCACAGTGTTGACACTTCAAGCATGTTGAATGTTGCATGCTTTATCAGAACAAGGAAAAGGGAGAACATTTTAATGTTCTTGATAACTACAATTTCAAAGAAGTAGACTTGAGCGTTAGTAGAAGAGGGGAAGCAATTATTGTTGTGCATTATAAATCTGAAAAGGCAGCGCTTCCTGATTCACCTAGATCAAAATACACTTTTCCATAGCTTTCATTTTGACAATCATTCTGGCACTCTTTAACTAGGCATATCAAGGCTATCCCCTCCATCCCCCAAGCGCTGCATACTATATTTATCTCTCATTGCGTTTCAGTCATATGCTAGAGCCATCGGTTTTAACACAAAGCTCCGACTTTGCTGATACAGTTTTTCCTTTGTTTCTCCTTGCCCTCCCCCCAGCACCACTGCAGGAGATGCGGAAAGTGTTTTTGTGACAAATGCTGCAGCAAGAAAGTGCCTCTTCCTCGTATGTGCTTTGTTGATCCCGTGCGCCAGTGCGCCGAATGTGCTCTCATTTCTCAAAAAGAAGCAGAGTTCTATGACAAGCAGCTCAAAGTGCTTATGAATGGTAAGTACTAAGCATGGGCTGCCCATAGGCCAGATTTTTGCTTTTTTTGCTGGGCATGGGAAATTAGAGTTGACTTTGGAGTTTTGTATTAAATCTAGCATGATAAATGACAGTGTGATTTGCTGTTTGATTCTATAGAATTCGTACTTAACTATCTAAAAGGCAGTATTTAAAGGTCTGTTTTGGACAATTAATAATCATCTGCTTTTAAAAATAAATGGTTATAATATCAGAAAGAAGGCAACCTTTTTTTAAAAAAATGGTGCTAGATAAAAATGCATTCTTTCAGTTTGGAAATCTGTCTGCAGTGTCAGATCATGAAAATGGCAAATCTCAGTCCTTTTATAGTGGCAAACGGCCATGTTGCTCTGTCAAGATTATTTTTCTTAGAAATGTTCTTTGACACTTTTTAATGCCTATTCTGTGTGTTCAGCTTAATTTGAGGAACCATACAAAGTCAGCAACAAGCACAGTGAATAAGGATGGCATGTTCTGCATGTGAGTTTGAAGGATGATTCTTATGTAATAGTGTCCCTTTGTACATCATTCACATTTCAGTATCTAATACACATAATTCTTGCCCATATTGTAAACATGCAAAATAGACCTCTGTCCAATGTAGAAAACTTCAATTTCAATTTCTGCAGTTTTGTTTCAGCTCTTTCAGAATATTTAGATTAAAAACTAAAGAGCATTCAGCATAAAGAGAACAAGGGATTCTTCTTATTAATTTACACTGGAATAGTAACCTGCAAGTCACTCTTTTCAGTGCAAAAATATGGTATATTTTCCTAAGCATAATGTAGTCAGAAACGTCCTAGTTCTTCTGAATGTTAGCTTAAACTCCTAAATGATTTCATATCATATATTATTATATTTGATTAATCATGATAGAACATGCTGTCACTGTTTTTTCACTTAAAGTAGATCTGAGAATATTTAATAAACCATGAATTCATAGCTACCTGTATTGAGGCAGGTTTAGAACCTGATCTTTCAAGGTCATTATCTTAATTATAAATTCTAGGCATATTAAGTGCATATTTTCCTTTTTCCACTCCCCGTTTCCTGGATATCTAGGTGCTACATTCTTTGTAACTCCAGGGACATCAGAAAAGTCAGAGATGATGGTTTGTCGACTTTCCAACAACCAGAGGTGAGAAGTGTGCTTCATTGGCTACTAGGACTTGCTCAGCAGTTAGTCTTATTCTTCATAGTGCTGTTGCATAAGCTGCAATTCTAGATCCTTATTGCTGTCCAAGAATTGATTTTGCCAGTCTATTCCAGCTGTTATAACAACCTGTAGTTTGGGCTGTTGAAACTTGCAGCACACTTCAGTTTGATTTGATATTGAGTAGCAGTAAATCTGTGATCTCTGAATCCATCCAAATAACAGCTGTCTCTGGGCAACTAATGTAGGCATTTAAATTGTTTTCAAAGTAATGCATCACATAACCGAAAGCATCAGTAAAAACTGATTTTGAACCAGTATGGCACTGATACATAAGTTTCGGTGTAAAGTTTTGAATGTACAAAAGTAACCTTGGAGTGAGTTGGGAGGGAAACTCCATCTGGTAATTCAACCTGATTAATTGATATCTACAAGCTCTTTTCATTACAAAAAATCTAAGCAGTTTCACGATCTCCCACATATCTACAGCATCCTTTCTTTCTTTTTGTGTATTTGGTTGCATCTTTCTGGTGACTCCCATGCATCATTCTTGCTGTAGATTCTGGGTGCAGTACCATATCCTAATACTCTAATGCAGTGGTTCCCAGTTACCTAAGTACTGTGGGCCCCCTGTTTGCAAAAGCCAAGCCATGGACCCTCTACTTTTGAAAATTTTGATAACTCTATGGTAGTTTTTGTTATGCAAATGGTGCTACGGATCCCCTGGGTGGGTTATAGGAACCGCCAGTTGGGAACCACTGCTTTAGTGGATTATGGATCGTTCACTATTTTTACTCTTATGCGTGAACTAGAGGAGCAAATATTTCAGAAATGACCATTAACCAAAATTTTATAGCTCATGGACAGTCCCACTGTTGTTGGCCTTACCTGAAAGTAATTTTTGCTGGAGGACAATCTACCAGATGGGTAGATACTGCCATGCATCACCCATAGGATTGCAGAGTTGAGGAAGCAGATTGCCTTGCAGTGTGCCGACTCCAGGCCAGAAGTTGCTCTGGTAGGTCAAAGACGCACAGAAAAATGCAGGAGGAACACAGCAATGCAAATATCCATATAAAACCAAATCAGCAATTTGCCTGTCCTGTGCTTCTTTTGCCAGTCAGAGACAAGGTAATAGTGCAATCAGCAAACCAACCTTAGACAGCTACCCTACCCACACAACCAGGGGGTCTGGTGGTAACCCTTGATGGTAAAGAGGGACTCCAGCCTGAATTTTTGATAATAGGCTTAGGAATTTCAAAATGTCCCTCCAAGACATGTCTTGTTTGGGCACCATGAATGCAGTAGAACTCTGAGAATTACTCTGCAGAATTCACTGCCTCAATAGCCTAAATTCATAGAATGTGAAGAATCACCTCTTGCACTATCTACCATTTCAAGAGGGACCTGGACACGAGATAGAAGGAAACTGGTGGAAGGGACAGCAAAATTCACTGCTGTTCTATATAAACAAATTTCCTGCACATAGCCTTCTGCTGGCATGCTGGTTTACTAAACTAGAACTGTTCTCAGTGACATCTAGTTCCTATATTTGGGGGTGTTTGTTTCGAGGCGGTTTTTAAATGAAGGAGCATTCAGTCATGAGTCCCCTACTTGCAGACTGAAGTAGTGCAGGATAACCACCTAAGTAACAGTTGTACCTAAATCTAATGATCTTTGCTATGCTTTGCCAATTAAAAAAATTCAAGGAATCTATATTAGTAAAACATGTGCTTCTTACCAGTGTGACTGGTAAGTATTGCGAGCCCTGCAGATTGACATATGGTGGTGTTCTCTTTTGTGTGTAGATACCTATTTCTGGATGGAGAGAGCCATTATGAAATTGAAATTGCACAGATTTCCACAGTCCAGATACTTACTGAGGGATTTACTCCTGGAGGTAAATCTTGTACAGAATTAACTGATGTTTAACCAGCAGCTGGTAGTGTTTTGGCCTACCCTGAAGGCAGGGATGTTGCTCTGTTACCTTGATTCAGGAAGCCTAGCCCAGTGCTTTTGGTACATTCGGAACTCAGTCCTTTTACCGATGTCCAGTTCAGTAGAATTCTGTATTAACTTAAGTGCAGATAAAAAACAGTTGCCTATTTATTCCAAATCAGTATATGAATTTTGGGTCGATCCCTATAGTTCACTGCTTTTTAACTTCCTTTGCTGTCTTAGGGTTGCCAGGTCATAATGCTCCATTGACAGTAGAAGCTACAAGTAGCAGAATCCCCCTATCCAGGTCTGTATTCCAGACCTAGTAGCCCTGTTTACTGTTGGCTCCCTCCGTTGCTTTGTTCTTGTTAATAGTACATGTCTCAGTCGTACTTTCTCTTTTCTTAATTTATTTTTATTTATTAAATTTGTATACTGCCCGTTACCCATAGATCTCAGGGTGGTTCACAACATAAAAATACAAGATAAAAACAAGAACAAGAACAACAAAACCACAAACCAATAAACCCTCATCTCCTCACACCCCCTCCCACAAACATATTTTAAAGGCCTGGTTGAAGAGGAGTGTTTTCACTGGCACCTAAAGGGGTATTATGAAGGTGCCAGCCAAACCTCCCTGGGGGGAACGTTCCACAAATGGGGAGCTACTGCGGAAAAGTCCTGTTTTTGTGTTGCCACCCTCCTTGACCTCTCATGGGGAAGGCAAACAAAGAAGGGCCTCAGACGATGATTGCAGGGAGCTGATAGGTCCATATGGAGAGAAGCAGTCCTTTCTCATTGGCTAGATGTCTCCATTACCCATTTTTTTTTCCTCCCTTCATTTTTCAAGCTACTGCCTACTTTGTCTCACTTCCTTTTTGCCATCCTTCTCTTTACAAACCTTCCTAGAATTCCACATTTTCTCTACCCACAATAGACTTCAGTGAGGTTTCTGCATAGCTCATTCTTGCTTTTAGTTCCTCTAGCCTATTTCTATTTTTAACCTTCTAAATGGGTCCTTCCCTTGGCTAGTTCTCAACTTTCCTTTAACTCCCCTGCTTTTGAGTTCCATTCCCTCACTTTTTGTACCTTCTGGGACTTTCCCCAGTCCTCTATATGAAATGTAAATTCAAAAAAACCTTTAACTCACCTTTCCCCCATATAAGCTTGAACAGGAAGCAGCTTTCTTGTTCCCTAAGCAATTAGAGCCATCACACCAGTTCTAGATGCTTCACTGCCTGGAGAAGAACTGACTGCTTCTTTTCAGAAGGCACTTACCTCTGTGTTGTGAGGAGGTTGTAAATGGAGATCACAATCCTGAAGCACCTACTGCAAAAAGTGTGAGATATAACTGACTGGCAATGGTTAACACAATGGCAGGCAGTTATAGCATCACAGAGAGCATGTTGACTACAATGGACGCTCTGGTTGCGAACATGATCCGTGCGGGATGCATGTTCGCAACCCGCACGTGCGGGTTGCGATTTGGCACTTCTGTGCATGCGCAAAGCACGATTTAGCACTTCTGCGCATGCGCAAAGCACGATTTAGCACTTCTGCGCATGCGCGACCGCTGAAACCTGGGAGTAACCCGTTCCGGTACTTCCAGGTTTCGGTGGTCCGCAACCCGAAAAAACGCAACCTGAAGCGGCTGTAACCCGAGGTATGACTGTATAGGGCATTTGTTTGCAGTCTGTGACAGGCTGCTAGCAACTTAGTTTGCATGTAATCTGGAAAAAAGTTTCTAGCCCTCATGACTGCAGATGAATATAATGCCAACAGATGCTGAAGGATTGGAGGTGATGATTTTTTCTTCAACTTTTGTGAGATATAGTCAACTGTTAGCTTTTGGGTTTTCCCATTTGTGAGTAATGAGCATATTAAAATGCATGCATTGTTTGCCAGGTGTAGGATCTGATATTTGTCATGCTAGATAAGTTCACTAAAGTTATTGTCCTATAAATGTTTTAGTACCCCTGTCTGTTTATGCATACATGAATTTTAGAATCATCTCTTTTCCTTGTAATTGCTTAATGAAAAACAAAGAGCAGAGCATATTTTAAAAATGCAGCCACAGTTGTATCATTTTGTTTCATCGCTGAATCTGATTCTTGGATTCTTACTGTCCAAAGACATGACATAACCACTTTTTTGCCAAAACTGACAGCTGTTTACAAGACTGTGCAGGGTCTTGGAAGTGAACATCATAACCTTCTCTTCTCTCTCTCTCTCTCTTCTCCCCCCCCCCCCACCATGTGACGGCATAGATCATTTCTTAGCATTAGTAAAGCCGATTTTAATCAATGGCAGTTTCTTCAGCAAATTCAAACAACCAATTAGGATTCATTTCAAAGCTTCCCGTTATTTGGCCCCAGACGAAGAAAAATGCAAGTCCACATTTCACAAAGCACAGACAGTCTGATGATTTTAAATCTTACTTTATTAGGTCTTCCTCTGTGTTTTTTAAAAAGAGATACAAATAGTGGAGTGCTTTGCAAAAGGAAAGCAGGCAATTTGTTGTGAAATTGCTGGTTTAAGATTATTCAGTAAACAATGCACTGAGCATGCCCAGTGGGTTTTTAAAAAGAATATGTTGCAAATTTGGAACTCTGAGTCACCATTTGGATGCCTAGAAACTGCTTCCAGTTGCCAATAGCAACTGGGTAACTTGCTAAAAAGCAGTGCTGACAATGTTAATGAAAAATATGTGGGTCATAATGCACCTAAATTTCATGGTGCTGCTATTCATGAAATATTTCTGTTTTGGGGGGTCTTGGGCTAATGTAGTGACTAAACATGAGTATCAAAAATGAATGCTTTCTGATAAGCTTTAAATTGGAGATGGTATAGCCTGCTTAGCATGAAGGAAGAGGCAGGGAGAAAGAGAGAGAGGGTTGGACCTGCTCACTTTTGGCTATTGCCCAATCCCCTGCCAATATGCCCCCAGTAGATTACTCCTTGGGGAATACTGCTCTAAACAGGTTGTCCGCAGCTGCTCTAAACAATAGGCTGCTCATCACTGTCTCCATCTATTAGATGTGTGTGATGAGATGGCTGTGTTAGTTGCAAACTCTGAAAAATGTCACTAGCCCAGAGGCATATCAAATTCATTTGTGACCTGGCTGAACTTTTACATTCTTGTAGTTTTAGTCACAGAAAAAGGAACAGGAGGTGTGGGACAAAGGAGCAAAAGTATAGTAACATTTAGGACTAGAGATTCAAGCAGTATTTCTTTCAGTAACATTGATTGTATTTATGCACACCTCTGGCCTGTATGTTTCTTTCAAATGCTTTAATCCAACAGCAATCAAATCCTTTAATACTTTGGCTGTGTATGAAATCTTCCTTTTAAAACTGAACACTTTCTTACTAATTTTTCTTGATTGATCTTTCTCTTCACTGCTTGCCCGCCTCCTTGATGTAGAAAAAGACATTCATACTTACACCAGCCTCTTGGAAAATGAACACATTATGGAAGGTCAGCACTGGAGCTCAGTTTCTTCTAAGCATGCTTTTTGTAGTTCCCGTTCAATGCATGTTTTCTGCTGCAGGCTTTAGGGCAAATGTACTTGGGTAGGGTGGGGGATTAGTGCTTGATTTAAAATCCATCTATTGGCTGATGTTCTGAAGAAGGTTAAGTCCCCTTTTTATATCCAGCTTGAACCTGTTATTAAAAAAAAACCTATCTGGCTCAGCTATCAGCCAACCTGTTCATATTATCCTCCTCCTTTGACAGCCAGGTTTGGACTGAGAGATATTCCATCAAAGAAATGAAAGGTAGAGGAGGAGTGGGAACAGCCATGACTTGAACATGATGGAATAGGGTACAAACCGAGGGTACTGCCTCTGTAATCTCACTGGAATGGACCACAGAGGCTGTACTGTGTATATCAGTACACATTGGACCTCCCAGATGACTAGGAATAGGTGCCTTTTGCAGGGTTTTCTTCCAGTGCTGTGTGTGTACCTGCTTGTTCATGTCCATTGGAGAGATTTGTTTTTCCTGTTGTTGTTTTTTAAAGGGGCCATGACACCTCTCTGAAAGGAGGTTTTAGAGTTGTATAATTACAGCTCTAATTACAGCGGGTAGTGCTGTGGGTTAAACCACTTGCCGATCAGAAGGTCGGCGTTTTGAATCCCCGCGATGGGGTGAGCTCCCGTTTCCTGGTCCCTGCTCCTGCCAACCTAGCAGTTCGAAAGCATGTCAAAGTGAAAGTAGATAAATAGGTACCACTCCAGCGGGAAGGTAAACAGCGTTTCCGTGCGCAGCTTTGGTTCGACAGAAGTGGCTTAGTCATGCTGGCCACATAACCCGGAAGCTGTATGCCGGCTCCCTTGGCCAGTAAAACGAGATGAGCGCCCCAACCCCAGAGTCAGCCACGACTCGACCTAATGGTCAGGGGTCCTTTAATTACAAGTGAGGTGGAAAGAAGCAGGAATACTGGGGAACGCTTTCACACAACATGCCAGGCCTGGATAAATGTCAACAGTCCTGCAAAGGATAGATGCATTGCAACTGTAAGCCTTGTAGATAGTTCCTGTTGGATGGGTGGGGGAGGAGGAGAGCGATGTGGTGGGCTCCTTAGCTAAGCCTCCATTATGGTTGCCCTGTTGCATATGGCTGCCACTGTGCATGTGAGAAGTAGCAAATGGAGTGGATATTCTAGGCCCGCCTTCCCCAACATGGTGCCTTCCAGATGTTTCTGGACTACAGCTTCCATCATCCCTGACCATTGGCCATGCTGGGTGAGGCTAATGGAAGTTGGAGTCCAGAAAAATCTGGAGGGCACCAGGTTGAAGAAGGCTGGTTTAAGAGGCATCACTTTTAATGCAGTGAATCAGTATAGTTGTGTGTTTTTTATGCAGGGGTATTTAGAAGCTGGTTGTGTGTACCCACCCTAGTAAGCGTCAAATAAGTTTTAAAATGCTGCAGTTTCATATTATTTGAAAAATAGTGTTGAAACCACAGAGCTTCCTGGCTGTCATTCAGAAAGCACAGTAAGCAGTGAACTCTGATCCATGGACGATTGTGTGTCTTCTCCAAATGTAAACTAAACCGCTGTTCCACAAACCGCTGTTTGTGCTCAGCCAAACCTTGTGGATTTGTGGAGAGTGTTGCAGGTCCAGATGTCTGCCCTCCTAGCTTTTCTCATGAGTCATGTTGCCATTCTGGAAGAGTTCCTGCATTTCCTCCCTGGTGCCTAAATTGATTGGGGATTCCGTTTTAACATATTTTAAAAAAGGTAAAGGTACCCCTGCCCGTACTGGCCAGTCTTGACAGACTCTAGGGTTGTGCGCCCATCTCACTCAAGAGGCCGGGGGCCAGCGCTGTCCAGAGACACTTCCGGGTCACGTGGCCAGTGTGACATTGCTGCTCTGGCGAGCCAGAGCCGCACACGGAAACACTGTTTACCTTCCTGCTAGTAAGCGGTCCCTATTTATCTACTTGCACCCGGGAGTGCTTTCGAACTGCTAGGTTGGCAGGCGCTGGACCGAACAACAGGAGCGCACCCCGCTGCAGGGATTCGAACCGCCGACCTTTCGATCGGCAAGCCCTAAGCGCTGAGGCTTTTACCCACAGCGCCACCCACGTCCCTTTTTAACATATTTTACTTGGGTGGTAAAGAGAACTAAAAACTCCACTACAATGATCTTATACGCTGTACAGTATAAATATTTCAAAGTTTTTTTGAACTTTTTTTGGGGGGGGGTAATCCAATAAAGCACACTTAAAATGATTCAAACTTAGTTTTGTTTAAGAACTTATTTTTATTGGAATACTTAAAATATTTAAAGACATCATGATTCAGTAGCATGCATTTGGCTTACTATGGGTATACTGTCTGCTCCTGGAAGGAATCCATCAACAGAATGGTAGAGGGAGGCAATTTTTGGCAGTTCTCTCCCATCTCCTCCTAAATAGGCTTTGATAGGTTTGAACAACATTGGATACTAGTCGTTGTTTAAATTTTAAGTGAAAAAAGATGCAAGGTATATTCATCTTAGCACAATCGAGCTGTGCATTGGCTCTGTAGCTATTTCTTGGGTATAGCCATCTGGAAAAAAAAGTTAATTAGAATTTAAAAACTTGTCCTTGACTGCTATTGTATGATGCTGCTAATTTTGTTATGAAACACAGCATTTTTGGAAACTGGAAAGTTTTTCGCAGAAAAATACAGCAACTGATAACTTTCCATAATGGGAAAAGTTTCCATGCCACATCATTGCTCAGTGCTGAGTTAATCAGGCAGTGGCAAGACCATCTGCTCCCTGCTCGCTGCTCCCATCCCTCTCTTTTGTCTTTTCTGGTTCAATGTGACTTATGTAACCTGCTGCTGAGTTTGCTTGCTTGCTTGCTTGCTTGCTTGCTTGCTTGCTTGCTTGCTTGCTTGCTTGCTGTTGAATCAGGTCAAACTCTCTCTGGCTTTTGCAACAATATTAAACAAGTCAAGGCCTCGGCACTGTGCATGTGTATGTGTGTGTCGTCGTCCCCCCCCTGAAACTGAATAAATTAATCCAAGCAAAATTCAAAGACGTATGACATCATCATCATCATCATCATTATTATTATTATTTTATTATTATTATTATATTTTATTCTGCCCTGTACCTACATTGGGACAGGACCTTTGCTTTGTGGAAATTCTTCTGGTACAAAGCAAGCTATGGAATGATAATGTGGATGGAAGAATTCACCAGCTTCAGCTGAATCCTGATTTAAGCCCCAGGCTTGCAAACAAATCAGACCTCAGCATTCCAAATATGTACATTAATACATTTGATCAACTTGTATAATACTTATTGCAGAATTGACAGAGTGGGAGCGAAGAGGGTGGTGATGCCAGTGTTTTATAATCCAGAGCCTTTACACACACACACACACACACACACACACCCCAATTCCTTTTTTCAAGTAGCACTGCCTTTGGAATACAAAATATAGAGCAGACTAGACCTAGTCTGTTATGTGCAGCGTCCGCTCTGCATTTTAGTGCCATTTGCAGAAGGTATGCTAATCTGCAGGACGAAAGATGGTGTGGATCTGGAATTTCATTTCTGAACTGTCTCGTTTGATTGTTTGAATCCCAATCCTCTGAAGCCAGAGATTTTGGGGGAAGCATTCAGTGGTCCATGGATGGGACTGTTTCACACTGTGACCATCTCCATCCATGCTTACAAACCTCCAATCCTTCTAATATAGCAGGAGTTAGCCCTTCTTCCATCTGGTTAGCTTTGGCAAATAACACTCCACTGAATACTGACACCTAGTATGCAAATACAGCACTTCGGTTGGTACTTTGGGGTAGAGTGGCTGTTTGTTTGACTAACAATGTTTAGTGCAAAACTCTTATAGACTCACCAAACACACATTCCCCAAACTAATGTTCTGTATAGTGTGTACATGGGGTATTGGAAATACACAATTCCTCTCTGTTCAGCATTAAGCATGTTAACAAGAGCCCACATAACTGTGTGTGTGACTCAGAGCTAGGAGACTGGCATACTTGCTCAGCCACAGGCTTTTCTGCTTGTGGTCTTGACCATGTCACTGCTCAGCCTGGCTACCTTACCAAGGGTTTTAGACAAAAGTTGTATGGGTTGTAGCACCCCTGTGTTACAGCAGAGTGGAATCACTCCACTCTGTTTGAACTAGAAAAATGATTAAACCCTCTTTTCAGTGGTTACTTTTTTCCCTTAGGAGGCAATACTCGCGCCACAGGTATGCTCCTTCAGTACAAGGTACCAGGGTTGGAGGAACTGAGGCAGTTTAGATTTACCGCTGGTGAAGACTTCAATTCCAACAAAAAGCTATCGGCTACTTGGCTAGCAGCCATGCATAAGGTAACTAGTTGAACTGCTGGATCATTGTCCTTCTGTGTCATGAGCGGCGAACTTTTTTGACTCCATGTGGTCCAAGCATCAGGGAGTGGGGCAGTCAACCTGACTATCACATGGCGGCATTATGTTGCATGATGGCTCACCTATTGAAATCCCTTGCTTGGAGGAATGTTAAAATAATTGGGGGGGGGGGGAGAGACATTTCAGAGAGCAGTTTGCCAAACTTCTCTGAAGCTCCTCCCACCTTCTTTTAACATCACTCCAGCTTCAAAGAACAAAGGGCTTTTACCCTTTGCCCATCAGCTGATGAGTGGAGATTTAGACCCTGCTGCCTTGGCTGCACAATCCAGTTTGCTGCATGAAACAGGGTGTGTTGCTATTGCAGGATTAAACCTGTCGTCCTGCCCATCAGAGATTCCCCACCCCTTGCTCTATGGCGTTAGCTGTAGAGGAATCAACACAGAACAGTAGGAAACTGGTTCGTGTGCTTGAAAGCAAAAGGTGAATGAGTGTTTAAGGTGCAGGGTGTATGTGTGTTTTTGTTAAAAGGAATGTAATAGCGAAACAACTTCCAACCATTTCTCTTAGAAGAAATATTCTAGAACTGCTCATTGTTCCTTTGCCCAACTGTGAAATCTGTTATAACATACCCTTATTTCTGATTGTCTTGATCTCTGCATTTTCTAATGCATTGATAAATACTCAATTCAGCCTGTGTGGATGTTCCAGAAAGACATGAGCATTTAGTTAAAGCTGAGTAGTACTGCTTTGCTATCAGCATTTCTCCTTTTTTCCCTTTCATTGCAGGCAGCAAAACTTCTTTATGAATCTCGGGACCAATAACAGCTTCTCCACCTTGAGGGAAAAGATCAGCTCTAAGAATAAGCTTCTTACTACTTGCTAGTTGAAACACGGTAATAAGTATTTGGTAATAGGGATCCCCCACCCACCCTTTCCTATCCCAGACGTGGTTCATCATGTGAGCACTGGCCAATTACAATGTGAGTATTTGACCTATAAGTATTCACTTTAGTGTGCAATATGTAAACAGATTATTAATGCTTTAAATATAGCCTTGCATCTATGACTTTATATTTTGTTAAATCTTGTCTGCACTTAATATGTAAAATGAAGTGTGACCTGCACTACTGCTAAGTATATAGCACAACTTTTTTGTAGTACAAATTATGTATACAGTGTAATTCATTTCTAAACAAGGAAACAAACTTTATTTGATGCTCCAGAGAATAATAGCTTTTCAGGTGTGTAGATCTCAGGTTCTTTTTCTCCTCATATCCAAATGATCTATGGAAATTTGCCTTAGATGTCATTTTATAGAAGCTACTCTTTCTTGTGGGGGATTTGTATCATGAGATAAAAACTTTCTTTTTTGTAAAATACAATTTACCAAATACCACAATTTGTCCTGTGTAATCTTTTTGAATGAAGCTTCTAGCAAGACTGATTTTTGAAGTTTTATATCCATGCTTTTTGTGGTAATTCTAGCATTGGCTAATAAAGCCTGATTAAACACTATGAGCTTGTCTGTGGGAGTATTGCTGTTGACTATTGTACAAGGTTTCATGCCAGGCTCAAACTGGTTACTGTGTAGACATGAAAGTACATTCAAATAGGTGCAATAAAAGGGTCAGGGGGCTTCGTTACAAATTATGTTCTTTAAAAAATGTTCTTGGGTAAGAAACACCTACAAACACAACTATACCTTAGCAGTAGTTTTATTGTGCACACTGGATTAGCAGTGTATCATAGGCTTTTAACTCACATTCATTTAGCAAATATTCTTTTACAATACCCTTCCACTTCTCATCACCACAATATATACAATTAATGCTAAACAGTGGTAAAAGCAAGTTACAGCACTGCATCAATGGATATATAAATTATGCACACCGTGTACATGAATAAAGCCAAATGGCCTACAGTATACAGGGAGGAAATTATAAAACACGTATGGCTACAACATAATGGGAAGTTCAAAATAGACTTCTGTATATAAAATAATGTACAACTAATATTCCAGTGAAGTGCTTTTTTTTTTTTTTTGCTCGAAACTAGATAGTGGATAAAGTTATTGCATAACTCACCCTGGCACAAGATGCCGGGCTGCCAAGAACCACAGATGCTGCCCCAGCCAAAACAGCAAGACGTCCTCTTCATTCTCCCTTCACTCTCTACATAGCCAGCTCAGCCTTTATTCAGTCCTTCAGACTCTCTCCCTACTTTCACAGATAAGATTTAAAGGTCCTTAAAGGGAACCTATTAGCTTTTTTATAACCTGACTCTTACCTTCTCAACTATTGCACTTTTCTTTCATATAGACATACAGATCCCTTAAATATGAATGCAGGTTTGTCCAGAAGATGGAATTCAGTGTGGGTGTGTTTGAGAAAGTTTAAAGTGGTGCTGTAAGCAGAATATCATGAAAAAACATCAAGTGAAGGAACGTGGTTTTGAGAAATGTGCAAAAATCCATTCAGCATTGATGCTTCTCTGTTAGTTAATAACACCTTTTATACCAGAGGACTGTTGGTAATTCCCAGGTGCCAACTTACCAAGCTCTTCAAGGATTTACACAGTAAACTCAACAATCAGTTGACAATTTTAATAAAGACCTTGACAGTTACTGCGGACTAGAATGGATCAGACAGCATATCTGCATTTTGCAAAGGTTTTTTAACATCTAGCACAAGTTTTGTTCTTTTAATTCAATTGGCAAAATACTGTAGGCTGTGTTGAGTACCTCTCCCAATGACTGGGTGGGTGAACATGGAACAGATCTCACATACAAACTTCAGATTGGAAATCTCAAATGCTGTCCATCAATTTAACAAGAGCACCAATTAAAACAAGTATAGCTTTACTTCTGGTGAAATGTGATTGAAAATGTTTCCAGTGTATACTTCCAGTTGCCAGCAAGATACTGTATTGCCAAATGATGGTTTTCAGGCAAGAGTTCGTTGCCTAGGTTTTATTCTTGGATATAACTGTAATAAAACAAGATTTAAAATTATTTAGCAAATTATAAAGCATATTCGTTTTTACAACTCTACCACTGCATTAAAAGCAACTTTTATGCAGAACAATTCTACAGCATCATACATATTAGTTCCATTTCTCTTTATTTCTCCTAGAATCTTTTCAACTGAGCTGTTGTGCTTTAGGCTGGTGCTTCACAATTTACAACAATAGCAATAATCAGTTCTAAATGGGAACATTAGTAATTTTAACTGTTCAAACCGTTGTATTAGAAAATGATTCTCTTGAAGACTGGTTGTTCCACATTGTTTCAAGCTTTGGACTAATAGTAGCATTCTGAACTTAACACACAAATTTGGAAGCAAATTCCACTGCCATCATTTGAGTTTACTTTCAGATTTGTTTAGGGCCAAAAGGCCCACTGTCTTCCAATTCAGATCCATACTGACCCACTCTATGGAGGTTTCTTGCTGTTTGTTAGTTGAGTGCTTGGGCCCACCACAAGTAAGTCTTTGGCACGTATAGGGAAGGGCCAAACAGCATCCTGTTCAACATCCTGTCTTCTTTCATAGAGGCTTGCAGCTTAGTATTGTGTTTTAGAAGACAAAGCTGCACTCTTGAGAACTGTACTAGTAACTGGAAATTATGAGTGTCAGAAGCAACACAGAATATTGGGGTGTGTAGGAGTTACCAGAACAGCAAGGGGGAGGGGAAGATGCTGTGCTGACAGAAAGTTTGTAACAGCACAATGTACATTATAAATAATCTGGGAGGAATTCAACAAAGAAAACTACAGTATTTTTCCATCTACAAGACAAGATGTATATTTTTGGGGAGAAAATGGGGGAGATAATATCTGTGTATAAGATGAGCCCAGATTTTGAACATTATTTTAGAGTAAAAAAACAGTCCTATACACAGGAAAAGTATGGTAATTTCTGTTGAGCCCCAGTTTATTAGTTAAATTTCTCTATGAACCCTGTTTGACTATCCCATATTCTATACATTCCACATGATTCACCGCCTTAAGAAGAGTTATTCTGAGGTCTGCAACTCTGCCTGGGGAGATTAAAATGATCAGCTCCTCCCCCCCCCTTTTTTTTTTTACTGTTCTTGGTCTGTACTTGAACCTGCAGTGGTACAGTTCAGGAAGAACTTTCTTCCAAATAAACCAGTACCCCTGGTTTAATCATTCCTAGTTGAGCAATCTGGAGGATTTTCGAAAAGCGCTGTATTGTGCTGGAATTAGGTACAGGTTCACGGTGAAGAGCGTGCAAGACTTACCCCCAAGAGATTTTTAGGCACGTAGCCTTCCTTGTCATTGAGACGAGCCCACCACCAGTCTGTCTCATTGTCATCTTTGCGCCTCAAAATGGTAATTGCATCTCCTTCATGGAATGACAACTCATCGTTGTTCTGAGCTTCATAATCCCACAACGCATACACGATGCCTTTGTTCATTACTCCCAGTTTCTCCTGCACACCTATGACCAAGAAACAACTACATTAACCTAACAGGAATAAGCAATAACCACTATTTGGAAAATGGGTACTGCAATCATGGCACCCCTGGCTCTCATGCAGCATGGAAATGTAAAACAATGTGTAATACAATTGTAGTGAGGGAGGAGAATTCTGTTTGGTCTGCATTTTTGTGCAAACTGGCATAATTTGCACCTTCCAGATTAATATATGGATAGATTTCACACTTCTGCAGATTCTGTGATGCAATCCTCAATGAAAGTACCAACAGTCATTTTTAAGTGCATATTTTTGGATAAAACACTTAAAAATGTGTACACCAGGATAAAATATGAAGAGTTATGAAACAAGATGTTTCCTGCTTGGCAGGGGGTTGGACTCGATGGCCCTTGTGGTCTCTTCCAACTCTATGATTCTATGATTCTAGACATAAATACACACATGTGAAATTGACATGGACCAGAGGTGGAGTAGGGTTCTTCTCAAATCCCACCAGTCATAAGGCCTGATTTCTAGAGACAGGTGGTTTTGTCATGGGGAAAGGCAAAAGAAGCACCCTGCAACTAGTTCTAGGAGATTACACCAGCAAGTGTTATACTCCATTATAAGGTAATAAAGGTTGGGAGGCCCAAGAGGTTCAGTGGTTTAGACCACAGCGCCACCTGTGTCCCTATTATACCCCATTATATATCTGTCCTGAGTACCTCACTCTACTAGCACTAATATGAGGTTGGCCATTTTGTCCAAGGTTTGTAGAAACACACGTCCCATGGGAAATGGAAACTGGCAAAGCCAATAGGCACAAAGCTCTGAATGGTTGTGAACACATTCTGGTGGCTGAATTTTATGACTTGGCTTAAGCTACAGCAGCTCAAGCAGTAATTTACATTGCACTCGCTTAAGCACAGTCAACAGGAAATAATTATCCCCTTCCTTTATTATTCAATATGGCAAGTGCATGTTTCTGGAGATTCTGTAACCGGGAAAGGCCTTCGTAGGTAGGCTGCTACATTCTGGATCCTACTAGAACTGCTCTAACTGTCCTTTTGTGGCACAGCTGCTTCTGCTCCAAAGCAGGCTAAATATGAGTCACAGCTCATGGTGAGAAAGACAGTCATTTCCTAAAGCCAGACATGGGAACATTTGAAGATGTGTTTGTGTCTAACGCCTTCTCCACTCTTCTACCCACTCACATACACAGTGTTCCCACTAACAGCACACAGAATTCCTCAAATCAATGAAGAATACAACCTGTATTACCTTAGTTTCCACTCCTTTATCATCTGATTTAATGAGCAAACTAGCCACACGGTGTATGTCACACATTCTTAATTTGATACCTCATTTGCCTCTCCACAACAACAGTGACATTCTAACATTATTGTTACATTTGGTGTACTTGGAATCTGCTGTAAGCTGCCTTGAGGATCAGCTGGCTGAAAGGTGCTGCATAAATCTTCACACGAAATCGAATACACACTTTTCATTGTAAAGTAAGCAATGCCATACTTACAGATCCTGGAACAAGTGAGGAAGGACAAATTCAAGCAAAGTTCTGAAATCTCAAGTTACAGAACCTGAAACTTACCATACAGAAACTGGGAACACTGAATATAACCTTCTTCCATTTCCTCACACTTGTCTGCCGCAGTTTCTATGTCACTTATGGTTGAAGCAAAAATTGCTGCTCCAGATTCAACAAGTAGCTTGCAGAGATGAACGCTGTTGCAAGAGGCAGCACAGTGCAAAGGAGTCCTGAAAACAAAGCAAAAGACTCAACGTCAGGTGAGACAAAACGTGCCCTCATTCCTGTGAAGATGGAGTTTGCACTAGTAACGGGTTACTAGCTTTTGTTGGCACCCAACAGAAGTGTGTGCTCGACTTGGTCTCTTACCATCCATCACTGTCTGCTGCATTCACATTGACACCAAAATCCAACAGGAACTTAACTATGTGATGATGGCCAGCACACACTGCATTGTGCAGAGGAGTGATTCCTTCATCATTAGGTTTGCTGGGGTCATCCACCTAAGTTGGGGGAAAACAAGGACTGACTGCATGAACTTAAATATTTTCCACCATCAAAACGTAAAGTAGGTGAGTAACATTATTTCCAAGTTTACCTCATATATGATCCTTTGCACCAGGTCAAACTCTCCCTCCAAAGAAGCATCCAGCAGCAAAGCCAAGGGATTGAACTTGACCCTCAAGCTGTGGCCAGTTCTCTCCGAATTGGGCTTCTTCAGGTTGGTCCTTTTGGTCTGAGTAAAAAAGCAACCCTGAGTTTCAAACTGCATCAGTATCAGAACACTTTGAACTGCAGTCTATCATAGAGAAATTTATCCTGTTTTAAACTTTTGTTTTCTGGAACTAGTAGAAACATGAGAACTGCCCCAACTTTGTCTCTAGCTTTTCTTTAAGGCACATAAAATCTAGATAATCACCACTACTTGTTTTCCTAATGTAACTGAAAGGGAGCCCGCTTGGTGTATTCCCATAGGACAATAGTCTTTAATATTTTCAGACCCAAGATCTAGCTTTTAACTGTACATGTCCTGCTCTCTCCCTTTTACTTATAAATGTTTGGTGTTGGTGGTATGATCATAACCCACCGACTGAGGACCAAGGCCTTAAAAGACAGGCCTGCACAACTTTAAGCTAAATGGAGCCCACCAGCAGCTCGATGAACCTTTTGTTTTGTCTGCCTGTCTGGGAATTCAAAACCAAGGTTATCAAGAACTTGGCAGGTCACAATGTGACTGTTACACTGCTTTCAGCTTGGTGGGTCACAAATTGTTCAGACCTGGATCAAAGTGCACTTCACCAAAATACATATTGCAGCACAGTCAAATCTTGCTTCTGTACTTGCCTGACTTGCCCTATGTAACACTTTTGTCCTACATCCAAGACATAGGTTAAACTTATCGGCCATTTGTTTGGGGGAAAATTAGAATATACTAAGAAAGTTGTATGGGGGGGGTGGACTTGCTGTACACACTCAACCTAAAGTGGATTCAAAGTTTTGCAGATTCTACGATGTGGCATAGCACTGCTTACGCGCCCCCCCCCCCAGATCACACTGGTTTTGGCGCAGTATCTTACCGCAGGAAGTGGAGGAGGAGGAAGAGCAGGTGGCGGCTGCATTTCCTCTTCTTCTGGGGAATCTGTCTCTGGGGTTGGACTAGGTGGCCGCTCAATAGAAGGGGCTATAGCAGGGTTGTTGTTGTTGTTATCATCCTCCGTTGTCTCGGGCATTTGATTTGTGTTTTCTTCACTGATCAACTCCTCAGTTGCAGGAGAAGGTAGTTCGTTATCATTGGCATCTGATGAAGGCTCATCAGGAAGAGGAGCTGTCGGGGGCACAGCTACGGGCTCCTCAATATTGCCATTGGTGTTTGTGTTCCCATTGTCAACATCTGCCAAGGTGCCTATGAAGTCCTGTGAGTTGCTTGGCTGATAAAAAGGGGCACCTTCTATTCCTCCGGCCAGGGTATTAAAGCGCTGGTACAATAGCTTCTGAATGTTTGGCCCACTGGGGCCTTCTGGTTCAGTGATGGAACTCCGCTTCTTCAAGGGCCTGGGAGCATTGGCGAGTTTCCTGCGAAGGGCTTCCAAATCGGCATCACTTTGGTAGCGAAGGGGCGAATGCACGATGGGCGTGAGCTTGGTGGGACTGAGGGGGCGAGGGATGTTTTCTACATTGCTGTTATCGCCAGAGGGTGGGATGTTTTCCAGTTCTTGATCTTTTTCACTGTACTCGGGAGGTTGAGGCTGTGATGGATTGGCAGGCAAAGAGCTGTGAAGGAATGGCAACGGCGAAGGGGAAGTCGAACCGGACTGTACAACAGGCTTCCCATAAACTGAGAAGAAAAAGTAGCAGTTAGGGACGGGTCTAAATTAACATGGAGTAACTTCTCAGAAGTGTTGTTTGTTGTTTTAAAAATCATATAAAAATTAATGGTGACAGTTGTCAATTTTGTAGCTTCAAATGCATGAGGAAACTACTTAAAAGCAACTCATCTTTCTAACAATTCTGGACATTTTCATGCAGTTATAAAGCAGTCATAAAAGTGGGGAAGATTTGGAAGGGAGGTCATGGTTCTTGAGTATAGATATCTAAAAAAGGAAGGACATACAACACTAAAAAGCCTAAACATCTCTAATGTGTAGCATTCCTTGCAAGTCAGCCCCTTCATGAAATATAGATATGATGTGCTTTAAATAGCAAGCAAAAGAGAACAAGGAGTAGCACACCAAAGGTGCCCACTAAGCTACAGATACAGTGACAGCAAACTGCTGGGAAATGAAAAACAACATTCTGTTATGATATCTCAAATATGCTTGAGGACATCCGTGGCTTCAAGAAAGAATACAAGATATTTCACCATTTTGTTGCATTTATCCATTTCCAACATGAAGTTATTAGTGGCGAGTTGACATTTCTTAGTTCTCTTATCAACAGTAATTTTCAACATAAATGCATAGAATGTAAATCCCTCACAAGGCCCCTCTAATGTTTGCAGAGGTCAATCATATTCCCTCTCACATTGTGACTAGACAGGTCAAGTGGGTTTGAATCCTATGTCTTTTAGCATTATATTAATACCTCCATGTCTCTTCTGGAAATGCTAATAAACCTAGTGTTAACTTCACTCCCCCCAATCACTCATGTAAATTTGGGTTGTAGTCGATGTTAGTCCTACTCAGAGTAGACCCACTGAAATTAATGAACAGGGCTATCTCAGGTTCACTAATTTCAGTGAGTTGAGATTAGTTGGAAACAACTCATTCAATAAAACAGGCTCCAAAGTAATCCTTGAGATGGTTGCAGAAGTGGCTCATCAGGTGAGAGAAAATCACATCACTAGTTCCCCAGCTGGTATGTTGTTGCCAATTAGAGGGAAGAGGTCTGCGCAGTATGGGTGCACTGGCGGGAACACTGAATTTGCTCTCCAGTGTGTATGCACTGCACTGACTTTGACGCCTCACCCCTCTCCTTCTTGGTAAGCAGCAGTGACAAACATGCTGAGAATCTAGCTTTGCAGCTCCACCCCAACCGGTTCAAATAAGTCCCCTTAACAACTGTCTTTAAAGTGAAGCAAATATTGTTCAGCACCTCAGACTAGTCACGATGTAGAGAGAGGGGGAGCACAAGCACCAATTTTAGATTTGTAGCAAAGCATAACCCACTTCTGAAAGTTACTGCCTCCCAATTAGATGCAATGCTGCAAACCTGTAATGTACAGTCATTTGTAAAGAAATCCTGGGTTAGCAGAATGCCCAAGCTCTTTTCTACCATTTGAAAGAAACAGCACTTTTTTTAAAGCAAAGATCTAATTTACATCAAACCTAATTTAACTCCTGTAAGTATTGAGCAGCTCTTAAACAGAAGAGATATGCAACATCAAATTATTCTACCTGCTTTAACGGACTTGTTCAGGGTATTGTATACAGCCTGTTGATAGTTCTTTGGTGGTGTCGCTTGCTGAAGGTACATGGAATAGATGGAACTGGAGTTCACGGTTTGGGGCCCTTTCCTGGGAGACTGGGGCCTTGAGCCTTTGTCAGCTAAGAAAGGCCTGATGGCCACAGTTAAGGGGAGATCAGGCCTGCCATCACCACCTGGAAATAATGGGGCGCCAGAAGGTTGATATGTGGGGCTTGGGGGCACAGATATTCTCTGCTGTATTTGTTGCGAGGAGCTTGGCTGATGAACGCTGCTTGCTGGTGGTAACGGAACAGGTCTTTGCCGGCTTGCAGCTGTAGAGCCTGGTCTTGGGAGGCTGCCATCTTTTCGCCTTTCAAGGGAATTGGTAGAACCTGTCCCAATGGAATGGAGCTTGGGTAGGTCCCATAGTTCTGGGGCAACTGCTTACTTGCTCCAGGGATGGTAGGTGGTACTTTCCCTATATCAAGACCCTGTGGAGGGGAAAACAGAAGAAGTGTCTGAAAAGCTGAGAAGGCTGTTCTTCTACCCTATATAGAAAACAAATCCCTTTTTAACAAATATCTCATGGATGAAGTACACAAAATCTTGCCAGAGAGGCCCATAGCACATACAGAAATGTTGTACACAAACATGCAAAACACCATGAATTTTTGCTACTGTATGCAGCAAGGGGCTGGGGGTAGAAGTGATAAAAACTCACCAGTTTATCAGTACTTCCTAATGAAGAAGACAAAGGCTGACTTGATATCGTTCCTTGTTTTAAACCAGCATCCATGCTTGATTCCTTCCAGTCGGCATTGGAGATTTGTGGCGGCTTCACCACAGGAACAGGACTCTGCTTAACTGCTGACCAGGTTCCCTCGTTAGCTGGCAACAAAGGAAAATGTTTATGAAATGGTTACTGGTGCCCACACATTTGTATAGAGAGAATATGAAATTGTGAATGGAAGATAGTGCAGAATAATTCAGATTAAGAAAATCAGAGTAGGATTAGAGATGCCAACAATCAGTTAAATGTGTTTAATCTAAAATAATGTTTATTAATGTATTTTATTATTAAATTTCTACCCAGCCTATCTGTACTCGGTTCCGAAGGTGACCAAGACTGATAAAGCATATACGCAATAAAGCATATTAAATCACAAGCTTATACATAAGGCCGAAGAAGCGACCGGTAACCTGTTTAGAGCTCTGAGTACTGTTTTGAGTTTAGTGAGATTTCATTATTTTAGGGATACATTCATAGATTTCTGCTGGCTCTAGAAAAGGCCGCACAATAAAGATTCTCACAACTGGATATCGCTCATGTATTTCTGTAAGTTGATCTGAGCCCACAGGATGGGAAAATTATAATAAAATACATTAACACTAAACATTCCATTTCAATTCAAACTGAATTCTACAGATGTATTGTGCTGAAAGATAATTCATTATCTTAATCTAAAGATGCCTTTTGATTTCTGATTAGAATTAAGATCATTGAGAATGCATTGTGGTTTGCAACATACAGTTCATAAACTGCTGTTTTTTGTTTCCTGAATGCCACGAAGAGCTGCCTTCAGGGCCAACATCAAGATCTGACACTGTCCATGACCTTCTATTATCATCATCTGGGGTAGTACAAAGAATCAGAAAGTCAAGTGAAGATATTATCTCCCCAACACACCCCGACATCATGCCCACCTGGAAAATAAGAAGAAACTTTCTAAATGTGAATTTTATATAGATTATATGAAAAAAACCACCCCAATTTAGCAAATGCATGCCATATTCATAAGCACAGCAGCCAAGCAAATGCACTGAGAACCAGATGGATCTGCTGCTCATGTGTTATTTTCCCATTTTTGGAGGGGGATAGCAGAAACTAGTAAGGTGGCTATGGAAGTAACTGGTTTGTATCCATGCATTTCATGTATTCTCTTCAAGCGAGAAATTGACTTTGAATATCAGAATACTTTGACACAAACCCAGAAGCTAAAAAAAAAATTATTTTTTTTAAATTTGAAGCAAAACAGCACCTGAAGAGGATGCCAACTTCCTGAATTAACTTTTAATGAAATTTGTCTAAAGTAATGGTTACTCTTAGAACAAAAAAATGCTCTTTCTCATACATGCCGTAAAAAGCTTCTTTTGTAACAACGTTTCCAATTTGTGCATCTCAACTTTCATAATTTCAAGAACAGCAAGAACCCAGTATTATATAAAAGTTACAACCAGAGATAAAGTGGCCTGATTTGAAACACTTGATACAGTTAGTAGCAAGCCGAAATAAAGCATTTAATCTGAAAATAAACATTTGGTACAAAACTTGCTCTATTTTTTTCTAGGAGGCTATTTCATGAAATAGTGTGCCTGAGAGGTCTGATCCCCACCCCCCATAATATCCTCTCTCTCTCTCTCTCTCTCTCTCTCTCTCTCTCACACACACACACACACACACACACACACACTGCCCAATAACAAACTGCTTTTGAATTGCCTTTGGTTTAAAACATGCCTTGCTGCATGGCATGGGGGGGGGCGGATCTGCTGTTCAAGAAAACAATACCAAAGCCACCTTGAGCATGCAGAATTGTTTGTATGATTCTTGGAAACCTGGGGTCCACAGCGGAACATGCACACTTCATTTTATTTCTGTTTCTATTTCCAAAACTGCCCTGCCAACTCGCCCGTTAAACTATTCAGAATTCAACAGCTGACTGAAAATCAAAGAGAGTCCCTTTGATGGTCCGCTCCCAGTGACAATCAGCAGTTTTTGTAACTATCAGTGTCAGTTCCTGTAACTACCCATCAGCTGACTGGCGGTTAAAGTGACCTTCCTCCCCCCCCCCCCCCCGGATTAAGAAGATGAAAACTAAGTGGTAGTGAAGTTCAATTTCAGTGGAATCTGTGCACTCATAAGTACCGTATTTTTTCGCACCATAGGATGCACTTTTTCCCTCCTAAAAAGCAAGGGAAAATGTGTGTGCGTCCTATGGAGCGAATGCAGGCTTTCGCTGAAGCCTGGAGAGTGAGAGGGGTCGGTGCGCACCAACCCCTCTCGCTCTCCAGGCTTCAGGAAGCTATCCGCTAGCCGCGGCTAGCGGAGCGCTGCATTAATCCCGAAGCTTGGGGCGCGCGGAGCTCAGCGCGCCCCAAGCTTCTGGGTGCCGGCAAGGTCTCGCTAGCCCTGGGAGAGCCCCGCGACGTTGCGTGGCTCTCCCAGGGCTAGCGAAGCGCCGCGCTAATCCCGAAGCTTGGGGCGTGCGGAGCTCAGCGCGCCCCAAGCTTCTGGGTGCCGGCAAGGTCTCGCTAGCCCTGGGAGAGCCCCGCGACGTTGCGTGGCTCTCCCAGGGCTAGCGAAGCGCCGCGCTAATCCCGAAGCTTGGGGCTTCGGGATTAGCGCTCCGCTAGCCGTGTCTAGGCTGCGGATAGCAGCCTGCTTCCCGGAGCACCGGGCGCCCTGAAAGCAGAGCTCCAGGCGCTTCGGGAACACATCCACAGCGTGGGGAGCCTTACAGGAATTCCCCACAGGGCTCCCCACGCTGCGGATAGCAGCCTGCTGCCTGGCGGGTGGGGCGCCCTGAAGCAGAGCGCCCCTCGCGCCAGGCATACATCCGCAGAGTGGGGAGCCTTGCAGGAGTTCCCCACAAGGCTCCCCACGCTGCGGATAGCAGCCTGCTGCCTGGCGGGTGGGGCGCCCTGAAGCAGAGCGCCCCTCGCGCCAGGCATACATCCGCAGAGTGGGGAGGCTTGCAGGAGTTCCCCACAGGGCTCCCCACGCTGCGGATAGCAGCCTGCTGCCTGGCGGGTGGGGCGCCCTGAAGCAGAGCTCCCCGCCCGCCGGACAGACATCGGCCAGCCCCACAAGCTTGGGGGACAGCAGGGAGGCGCAGCGCCACTATCCCGCTGTTCCTCGACCTGGTTCGGTTTCCCTGACCTGCTTTTGGGGGGAAATAAAGGGGAAATTTTTTTCCTTTATTTCCCCCCCCAAAAAACTAGGTGCGTCCTATGGTCCAGTGCGTCCAATCGTGCGAAAAATACGGTAAGTTCCACTGTGTTCCATGGAATTTATTCATTAGTAGGTGTGTTTAGGATTGCAGACTGATGATGTGAGCCTGTATAAAAATGACCCCTGACAGTTAAGTCCAGTCGCGAACGACTCTGGGGTTGCAGCGCTCATCTCGCTTTACTGGCCGAGGGAGCTGACATTTGTCTGCAGACAGTTTTTCCGCATCATGTGGCCAGCATGACTAAGCTGCTTCTGGCGAAACCAGAGCGGCACACAAAAACGCCATTTACCTTCTCGCCGGAGCGGTACCTATATATCTACTTGCACTTTGACATGCTTTCAAACTGCTAGGCTGGCAGGAGCAGGGACCGAGCAACGGGAGCTCACCCCTTCATGGGGATTCGAACCGCCGACCTTCTGATCAGCAAGTCCTAGGCTCAGTGGTTTAGACCACAGCGCCACCTGCATCCTGTGAGCCTGTATATGTTTACTCAAAAAGCCCCACTGAGTTCAATGGGACTTACTGCCAGGTACATGAGTACAGGATCACAACCTAAGTAACTTGTCCACAGCCACAAAGTAAACCACCTAAGAACAAGACTAGAGAACACAAAAAACAGTACCTGCTTATGTCAAAATATATACAATGTGACCCTATGTGAACTTTCTTGACTCAAGGTACCAGCATAATTATTTGCTAGCTAAGTATTCTGCTTTTTCTAGATATATGAAGGAGAGCATTTTAGATTTGTTTACTTGCGAAATACCCAGAAAACAATGAAACACACACACATTCTTCTATTGACAATATATAGACACAGTTTCTAAAAATTCCTGTTTAATATGCATCTGTGTGCCAAAGCTCAGATGACCATATTAAAAATGGGATTTCTTAGCTTGCCAAAGATCTTCTACAGACTCACAGTGCAGGATCTCAGAAAGAGTAGAAGCTGAATGGATGATATTGTGAACAGCAGACTGAAGAGAGGGAGGTGACAGAATAGGATCCACTATAATGTCTAAATCAGAAATCTTCCAGGGACCTGGAGATTTTTTCACACACCCATAGTCTGTATCTACTGGAGACGACCAGATCCAGTCACACAGTAAAAGAAAAAGGGGAAAAAATAGGATGTGGAAAATAATTACAACATAAATGACAAGAGAGAGATTAAAACGTAAAAGAGAACAGGAAAATGTACAGATAAAAGTATGACACTCAACATATTAAGAAAGAGCCCTCATATTGTGTCTCATACAAAATCTGGGTAGAAAACAATTTTCAACTTAAGCTGCAGGGGAGAAAAAGTCAGTTTTTTAAAAAGAAGTGCATATGTAATTTATATGACTAAAGTGCATTCTGCATATATTGTACTTGGCTGCTAGAGACAAGGGCTCATAACCAAACAAAACCAATTAGCCAGATATCCAAAATATTGTACAAGGCTAGAGCCAATGACGTATCTGGAGGCATTCTGTGTTCAGAAACTGCAAGCAGGACTTGTTTTGACTAGTTAGGTATCAACTGTTTGTTTTCAAAGATAACCTACTGAAAAGGTATCTGCAAGTTGCAGAAACCATCTACATAAATGTGTGTGAAGATGCATGTTATACTGTTTTTACATCTCCTGAAATGCTGTTAAAAGTCTGGTCTCTTGCCTCTCCGTTTTCATGAGGCAGGGCAATTCTCGCCCTCCATTAAGCCTGAGCAAGAACTGGCCTGCCCTCCATTTTCCACGTGAGAAAAATAATCCCTGCCAAACCTCTGAATCCACAAATTACAGGCTGTCTAGCAGTGAGATGGGGGACCCTAGGGACTATTTATACCAGCAAAAAGTAGCTTCCTCAGACCCTTGTGAGGTTTCTAGCATACCCTCACTCTGAAAATTCCCTTTTAGGGCCAGAGCACTGTGTTGCAAGTGAAGTCGTTTAGGATCAATCAGGTTTGAGCCACAGAGTTCCTTTTTTTCAGTATTTTGTTTTGTCCAACTGCCTTCTTCTTTCCTTTTTCTACTAGAAATAAAACTTCATATAATTTGACTGTTGCAGATCTGGAGTGGGTGCGTTTGCCAAGCTCAAGGATTCTAATCATCCCCCACAACCCCGGATCATTTGGGCTCATGCTAAATAAGAACAGAATTGGAGTTGTTAAGGATCAGTCAGTTGCTCTGATCTCTGGGAAAGATGGAGAACTTTTCAGCTCACTTTATGCCTTGGGTAAACTGTGAGGGATCTGGATGGGAAACACAAGGGGCTCTGTTCCTAGGATCTCAGGACTCTTAGAACTTCCTTGAGCACCCCAGATTTCTTCCCACCTGGGGGGGGGGGATAGCTGTGAGTTCAAAGGTGGCAGCTGTTACTGGTTGGTTGCTGCCCTACTCCGCAAGGCAGTTGTGCAAGGAAGGACATGAGAGGCTCTCCTGAACACTCCCCTTCTGTCACAATACTCACATCAGAATTGTTCTTCTTGCAATTAAATATGAACTTTTAATCGCAGCCATACTTAATGTAGGAGTTGCATATGGTACAACATCATATTGGCAAACCACAGAGGCATTTAATAGTAACTTTGGGACAAAGGAGAAAGCATCTTGACTCGTGTTTTTGTCAAATGACTGAACAAATGAGTTTGTTCAATATGAAAGTGAGCTCTGGGGGTCCTAATCCCTTCCACCTTATGGAAGGGACTGATGATCATCCCCAAAGGCAACTCCTTTGTCACCTCCTACTGTACAAAACAATGTACGTGTTTTTGTGAACTGCTTACCAGATTTCGATCTTCCGTGAGTTGCACTAGTAGTAATAGTGAGGGACTGTGGTTTCACTGGGTCAACTGGCACGGCATAGCTGCTGGAGCTGGGAACTTGAATGTATGGCCCCACGGCTGCAACTCTGCCTGAAGCATTCAACGACGATTGAGGAGAGGATGTTCCGTTTATCCGGTTTAACTAAAAAATGGCAAATCAAAAGGTGTGTTAACATCAATATCAGCATGTGTCTACATATCTGCAGAATCTTTTTAAAAGGAAGAGTTATAGAAGAATTACAGTGTGCTTCTCTCTGGGGTTCAAACCCCTTAGCCCTTCCTCCTCTCTTCCCTCACCCCTGGGGCATTTTCTCTTTTACGTTCATAAACAACGTTAAGAACGGTCCCGCTTCCGTTTTATTATCTCTCTTTCCCAACTACTGGGAATGTGGAAAGCATTTCATCTCAGAAGGCACCAAAAAGCATCATATAATATATCCCCTTCTCCCTTTTGGTTCCATGCCATAGAGCTGCAAAGTCTGCATAATATGGAACTCACGAGATTATTAGGAAATTAAGTTTCTACTACCAATGTAATTCAGCAAACTCAATTTTGAAAAAGTTAATCAAGAGTCCACTATTCCTATCCTGGCCACCAAAGTACTCCTGTGCAGGAACTAATATTTTATCACTAAATTTCAACTCACGTCTACATGACCCCACATTCAATTTATACTCTCATATTACCACAGCAGATTTTGGCAAAACACAAGTAATGCATTATTAACTTCTATGGGGCTAGAGGAAATGGAAACTTGATGAAGCTTGATGAGCTTTGTAGAGGTATTGAAATGTGGCCCTTTTAATAGTTTATCTTACAGGGATGTTTTCTTTTTGACGTGCCTCAACTTTTTTCTTGTATAGGCGCTCACGTAGCTCATTGATACGCTTGTCCATCATGGCAACCTCCATGTTACGCTTATTCAGAAGTTCTTTCTGCTGCTGAAGCTTGGTGTTCTGTTCCTGATTAAGCCTGTTACGAATCTATAAATAAACAGAGCGATTATCACTACTTCGGTTTGGGTTGTTTCTAAAGGTAAAAAAACTCAATAATCTGTAGAAAAAACAGCTATGTCCTGTGTGTGCCCTCTGGAATTATTTTTCATTTAAATAGCAGAATAGTAATGCTAGACAACAAACTGCCTTTTGAAACTTAAGAGGTTTAGTGTGGAACTGCTGTATAAGAAAAAACAAGTCCAGAGCTCTATTGGGCATACAAAATTAATTGTATAGTTCTTTGGAGTCAAGTCTAGGTAGTTTAACACATGCCTAAAGACTAAATACATCTACTTGCTTGTAAGTCCAATTTATTTCTTTCAGATATATTTCTAAGGATTGTGCTCAGGGGCAGAAACTAAAATCTATACAGTGGTGCCCCGCAAGACGAATGCCTCGCAAGACGGAAAACCCGCTAGACAAAAGGGTTTTCCGTTTTGGAGGTGCTTTGCAAGACGAATTTCCCTATGGGCTTGCTTCGCAAGACGAAAATGTCTTGCGAGTCTCGCCATTTCCCCCCCGCTTCCCCCCCCTTTTTCAAAGCCGCTAAGCCACTAATAGCCTTTTAGCAGCTAAGCCGCTAAGCCTTTAATAGTCGCTAAGCCGCAAAACCGCTAATAGTGCTAATCCGCTTAGCCGCTAATAGGGTTGCTTCGCAAGACGAAAAAACCGCTAGACGAAGAGAATCGCGGAACGGATTCTTTTCGTCTTGCGAGGCACCACTGAATACTTCTTTGTAACCCCCTCTGACATACTTTCATTTTCCAGAAAGCACCTGTTCAGTCATGAATAAATACGGCATGCAATCAATTAACAGTGCCTAAGTAAAACATCAAAACTATATAAAGAACACCGAAAAGAAAAGAAGTAATATAAAACCTTCCTTAATTTATAAGGAATTTGATTAGGATATGATTTCCAGTATAAAAGTCGTGCTGCTGGATTTTGTCCATTTCCAAATAAAGGATGTCATCTTATAGACATTTAGCTGGGAGTAAGCCCCACTGAACTCACAAAGACTTACTTCTAAGAAGATATAGTGCTTAATATGTGAATGAAACACCAACTAAAATGCCTGATTGTAATACTGCTTTTCTTTCTTAGAAGAGGGATGAAAGGAAAATATTTATTCAATTGCTTTCAATGGTAATGGGGAGGCATGACCAACTGGCAGCCTAGATATGGCCCTGAAACAATTTTACTTGGTCCCTTGAAACTGCTACGTTTTAACTGAGATGCATTTTAACTGACACTAAATAGAAGAAAGCCCCAGTTTTGTTCATTGGCACTATGTAAAGTGAATGTCATGACTGTTTACCTGTAGCTCTTGGTATAATTTTTTTAATTCTACAGCGGCAGGCCCTGTCATCTGTCCATTGTAAGACTGGAACCCATTCAGCTTCCCTTTTCTCAGGTCCTCTAGCTGTTGAGTAAGCTGGTCCACCTTTAACACTGCAGCTTGTAGCTCTTGTTGCTTTTCCTGGAAGATGGCACTGATATGTTCAATTTCAGTGGCTGCAATTAAAATGCAGAATGAATGTAAACACATAGAAAAGCATGAGGCCATAAGCAACGCTGTTCAAATATTTTCTCCAAGCTGCTGCAGAATGAAGCTTATAAGCAAAATAATTTGGGGGTGGGGGCCATAGGAACCAACTCCTAGGAGATGTGGGGGCTTCGGCCCCCACAATAAAATATTTGAGGGGGATGTTCGCCAAGGTTGATGGGCATTGCCATTGAAATGTGCATGCACCACATCATTTGATCAATTATGTGGGGTGGGGCTTACCTGCCCCCCCCATTTTATTCGAGTTGGCACCCCTGGTGGCAGCAAAGGAAAGTGCTGTGGTTGATTCTGTCTGGATAAGGCTATTAAGTGGTCATGCCTAAATTGAACTTTAGACTATTATGTTCCCCAGTCCACAACCCCCCGAATCAGCTGCTGGAGTTTAAAGTGCAGCAAGCACAAGGCAATGCTCTGCTGATCAGATCTAGCACAAGCCAATTGCAGGGACGCAATTGAATGCCTCATGCAATGGGTTTCCTGGTTAATATTCCAGAGTCCCTGAAACATTAAGATATGAGGGGTCAATTAATTTCTGTTCCTTACAATCAGCACATTATATAAGCAATTCACATTAATAAGATTTCAGACTGATATTAATCTGTTTTAGTATTTCAACTTTTGTATGTTGTTTTTTTTAAGTAGGGCTGTTTTATCTTTTGCAAACTGCTTGGGGTTTTTTTACAACCAAGCAGTGTATAAATTTTATGAAATAAATAAATAGCAAACGCGAGAGTCTGAGAATGCTGAAAAGACATTCTGAAATGCTACAGAACGGCATGTTTCTGCTTGTGTGCCTAATGCAGGATGTTTACTAGGTTGCAACATGTTCCCTTCATTATGGCAACTGGAAAAGTGCACTCAAAATAGTGAAAATGGCTTCCAGAGGACTCCATGTTCTGAATGACTCATGTTAATGTTTCCCCATACAACTGGCTGACAGCAGTAGCTCAAATATATTGTTATCCCTGGCCCCCAGTCAACCTCTGGGTCAAGAACCTAAGAGCTTAAAAAAATGGGAAGAAGCCACTCGTACACAAATTGCCGTTCATAATCTTGCTGTAATCCACCTGCCCTCTCATGGCACGGATTTTTTTCAGCTTTGTCTCCTGGGTTTCCACTCGTTCTTTAAGTTTCTGAAGCTTTTCACTCTCAGACACAGACTGCTGTTGACGGCGTTCTTGCTGCTTGAGATAACGTAGACGTTGTTCCTATCAAAACAAGTAGAACATGTAATCATGCTGTCCTATTTTTAGAAAAGCCTTACCAGTCACTTGCCTATTACTTCTAAACAAAACAAAACCTCAGTGTGAGTCAGCCAGTGTTTAAATTGGGAAAATCTTACCTGCATACTTCTTCAGCCTGGAAACAAATATATTAAACAACAGCATGAACTTATCTTTTAAGAACCTATTAATGTAAAGTTTTTATGTGCCTCCCAGTTGTATCCTCCAAGAGATACCAGGCCCTTCATTTCTGAAGCTACAAAATCCAATCTCTCATCTACACAAAAACAAGCTCCAGCTGAAACATTCATTCCAACACATCTGTGAAGTTTCCTGCAACTTGTACTTCCTGTTCCTCAAACACACTTCCTCCTGCAGCAAAATGGCTCCCCAACCCCCCATTACATAATTTCCCAGAGGAAATAATGACTAGCAGAAAACTACAAACAGGCAAAGATAAGGAGATCTGGAGCAAGATAAATGCCACTTCTTTAGAATGACAGCCTATGGACTAAACAAATACGGGAAATGCTTCCTTTTTCTCCTGAGGTTTTTTTAAAACAAAAAAACCCCAACACTAAACTACTACTGTATAACCTAAACGCTTCTCAATTCACTTCTGTCCTCTAACTCAACAGAGACTTCACCTTGTAGATATTGTTTCTTCCATTTTAAAGCAAAATGACAGTGATATTATAACATGATTATGGTGGCAAATCACTGTATTGAACAAAACGCTGAACAGGACTTCAGAAGGGTTAAGAACACTAGCACTGAAATTTTGACTCTGCTCAAGTCAGTAGGTGGACCTCTGTTGATAACCATAAAGCCTCAATCACCGATGGACTATGTGACCCTAGACCTGAGACCTACATCTAAGGCAACATGGCATCACACACAGGATTAATGCCATATCTGTTCTCAATTTGCAAATTTTCTGTACTACTGGGATTTAGAGCCTTCTGTGGAAACAGCACATTTTCTGTTCTTTCCTTCCTCTTGTTACTGGAAGTGCAGTTTACCTTGGCAACCAGCATTTGCTGCTGATTTTCAATCTGCTGCTGTTGCCTGGCAGCCATATCCTGAAGTTCTGAAAGTGTGAGTTCAACACGTGGGTTTCCAACCTGCAGAGAATAAAGAGAAGCAACATTATTCTGTCATTACGCTATGTGCATGCTCATAATTTTTTTTCACATTTTAGTTGCCACACATTAATAGTTGACCATTTTCTGCAATAAACTGTCCTTAACACAATTTGGAAAGCAGCCTGCCCTTCGCCCCCTTTCATATTCTTGAAAATATAAGTTTGTATGACAAGCGTGGTGTGGCGCACTACAGGGCTGCAGCAGAGACTGAAGCATGCCTTCATAGATGATGAACCTACCACCCTTGAAACAGGAAAATCTCATGAAGGACCTTGATGATGATAGGCATCACCTTGAGGGATAAGGGAAGGAAACACTGGAATTCCTTGATGCAGCCCACACTACAGCTGATGGATGGTGGGGGTAGAGGTGTGTGGGAATCATAGAATTTGTTTTATTTGTAGCATTTGTAAGTCACCCTATAACAAAAAGTTCTCTGGGTGGTTTACAATAAATAATAAAGCAATGTAATCCAAATAAGATACAAAACCACCACTGTCCAATGCTTTCCTTTCCCCCACCGACATGAAAGCCTACCATTTACTTCAATGTGTGTGTAGAGGGGGGAGATAAATAGCAGAACTGTGTTTACAAATCTAGAGGGCAGGTAAACACACCTCCAAGGTAGCCCAATGTGATCAGGCTACAACAGCTAAGGAACTGGCTTTATAAAGAGAAAAATAATATGCCATTAGGAAGTACTGAAAATATTAAAATTTCCCAATGGATAATTTGTTTCAAACTCTATTCAGCTTCTCACAGTTTTTGTTCCTAAATGTGTGTGCTTTTTTCTCCTTTATGTTAAGAGGTTATTTCCTGTTCTTATGGACTATTTTGTCCTCCAGAGATTAATGTTCAATATATACTGTCTTTGCAATCCCATAATTCCTCTACTCCACTCCTAAGAGTCCTAGAAAGGACACAGAAACTCTTACACTTAATAGCAAAAGCTGCTCAGGTGGGAAATCTTAGCCAACAAATTTTGCCAGAGGGCCAGTGAGGCCTTCACAAATAGCATCCCAGCTACTAAGAGCTTCCTTGCAAGCTGTTCTTTAAGTAACATTTTGCTACTTAACAGGACTTCAAATGCAATTTCTAATGAGGACCAAAACAAAGCTCATTCTTCATTAAAAAGCTAGTAAATTATTTACTGGTTCCCCAACGTCCTCCTAGAAATCCACACTAAAAGGAAATGAAAGTTCAACTATGTAAAAGGAAGAAAACAGTGAGCAGATAAAGTAAAAATGAAAGTACAAACGTGGTGTTAAGTAAAACAAATATAACTACATATATGAACAATACATGACATTATGGAATTCTGTTTGCATTCCTATATGCTTTCTATAAAATAGAAGACGGTTTGACTATTGAACGTGGAGCACTGCTTTGCATGGAAGAGACTAAGGAAGCACAATAAAGCAAAACAAAGACTGAGGAGCAGAGACCAAAATAATGTGCCATCATGGGCCACCTGTGGGCACTGTAGTGTCCAGCAAGAGTAAAGCAGTGCTTGGTTCCAGAATGTCCAGGAGTTTAAATGCCTCCAAGCAGTGACCCAGGAGCAGGATTTTCAAATGGAGATACTGATGCAGAAAAACAAAATCTTCCCTGAGAGGGAGGAAGACTTACATAAATCAATGGAGTCCCAAACCATCACTTTCAAAACTCCTTAATCTACTAGTATCCCATAATCATGTATACATAAATATATGGTTGCTTCATGTTTTACAACTACAGCATGGAAGCTTATGCTTAGGGCATGCTGCTGTCTGCTGAAATGACTTTCACATCTCATAAAAGCAGCACAAAATGCAGAGAGAAAGTAACTGCAAAGGTAGTTGTGCTGGCTACTTGCTCTTTCCACTAAGCTGGCTACTTGCTCCTCCTGCTCAGATGCTTCTGTTGCCAGAGGTTGGAGCCAATGGGTTCTTTGGCTCTTTGCTGGGGGGATCACTGTGGGATATTATGCTTATTAACTGAACCATTTTTTTATTTTTTATTTGTCTTGCATTGGGAGTGTTTTTATTTTTACTGTTTTTCCTATATCAATTCTCAAGCAATTCAAAAAAGTTTCAAATCTTGTTTTGTGACTATATAATAGAGAGGTGAAAACCATGTATACCACCCTGAGTTCCTTGGAGGAAAGGTGAGATATAAATGAGATAAATAAATGAGGGCCTGATCCTGGGGCATCACATGGGAATGAATGAAGGGATTTGGATTCAGCTGCCTCTATCCTGCCTTCGGAATGCCCTGATTAAGGGCTTACTGCATATGAAAACAGTGCCAGCGGTAGATCTATGTTTGCAGGATTTTACACATAACTGTGGCTCTCCTTTGCCCGTGTGGTTCATCTGTACTGGAAGAAAGGCACTTCTGCCCCATCTTAATACAACTTCCAATCAGCAGATGTAGGGGTTAGGATTGCTGTCTTAGTCTTTAGATCAGTGTTTCCAAACCTGGATCTCCAGCTGCTTTGGACTACAATTCCATAATCCCTAGCTAGCAGGACCAGTGGTCATGGATGATGGGAACTATAGTCCAAAAACAGCTAGAGACCCAAGTATGGGAAACACTATTTTAGATGAAACCTTATGCAGTAGTTTACAAATTTCATCCAGCCTTGATACCCAAATCAAAATTAGTAGCTTTATTTATACTTTACTTCTTAAAATGTTTATATACTATCTTCCATATCAATCCCAAGGCAGTTTACAACCTTAAATGTCAATGTATTAAACAAAAATTTAAAACAGTACAAAAGTACCTTGGTTGTCGAACGGCTTGGCTCCCGAACAAATCAGCTCCCAAACACAGCAAACCCAGAAGTATGCGTTCTGGTTTGCGAACATTTTTTGGAAGTCGAACATCCGATGCGGCTTCCAATTGAGTGCAGGAAGCTCCTGCAGCCAATCAGAAGCCGCACCTTGGTTTTCGAACTGTTCCGGGAGTCTAATGGACTCCCAAATGGATTAAGTTTGACAACCAAGGTACAACTGTATAATAAATACATATTAAAATGCAACTATACAGTCTGTAACTCAAATAGTTCCCAGGGTAAATTCCAAAGGTGAATAAATGTGTTTTCAGGAGGTGCAAAAAAACTCAACAAGGTTGGTGCCTGTTTTAAAGCCAGGGGAGATGGTTCCATAAACTGGGTACCGTGACAGAGGAGGCCCTCCCCCTGGTTGCCCCAAGGCATATTTCCACAGGCATGGAGTGCATGAAACTGCACTCCACTGCGCTGAACACAGAAACGAAGTGGACTGCCAGAGTAGGGAAGCCCTTTTCCTCTTCTCTCAGCACAGAAATGCAGCAGGCTATTGCAAGAGAGACGGACCCCTCCATCCCTCTTCTGCTGGCTCTCAGCAGGCTAGAGAACATTTTTGAAGGCTAGCAACTCTTGTGAGCTAATTAACAAAGCTGGACACACACAGTCCTCACACAAAAATAAGCAGCAGATGGTTTGAAAAACTGGTGGTTGACTAACTTTAGGCAACCATTCTGCAACAAAATAAAGGTTAAAAACTGAAGTAAAAACATTTCTCCCCCACAAAAAGATGAAGCACAAGAACAGTAAGAATGAGAAAAATTTGTGAGGAAAACCTCACTTGCAGTCTGATTCAATTTTTAAGTTGTGTATAATGAAGGCTTTCTACCTTCAATTATTCCTACAGTTATCATTTTACACAGAGCTCACACAGTTGATCCTCAATACTACATGTAACATATAAATTTATGTTATAAGCAGAACTTGAAATGTGCATTGCTGGGTTTTTTCCCCCTAAAAGCAACCCATGGAGCATTTACAAATTCCAACAACAAAAATCAAGATATTCTTATGAGAGATGCCAAAAGAACAATCTGTTCCTACCAGGTTGTGAAGGCTATCAAAATTTGACATTCACATTCCACTGCAGGGTCTGCTTCACTACCCACAGGTCTCTGACGCACTCAGAGCTCCATTGTTTGCCTTGGTGGAGCCCTGATGTCATCTGACTACAAACTATGGTTTTGGTAAGGATCATCAGTTACTGTCACATTAGGAAAAAACAAAAAAAAAATCCTTCCAGTAGCACCTTAAAGACCAACTAAGTTAGTTCTTGGTATGAGCTTTTGTGTGCATGCACACTTCTTCAGATACCAAAGAAGTGTCACATTAGGAAGCACTGATGGGATTTTACAAAAATGAGACACAGAAGAGCATCAGGTTATGTACGCTGAAAGCTAAGAATGTTGGCTTTCAAAATGAACACAATCCTATTTTTTAAAAGAATAATCTAAGTGCTAGACTCATTTCAAAGTATATTTTTCACAATGAACTCAATCAATCAAGTTATTATCTTAAATTCTTATAGAACTGCTCTCCTGTTCTTCATAATAAGTTATATAATAAAAGTTATATCATGTTAATCAATGTCATATTAATATTATATAACCCACATTATATATAAAATGATAGCATGTTAAAACTCATTAGCATTTGACTAAACGTAACTTCACAGTATATGTCTGTGGAATTAACTTTATCCTGTAAAATAGTCCGCAATAGAAAGTGGCTACAGACAATGAAACTATTTCCAAAGAATGCAATTTCACACCCTTGACAAAAGATAACAAAATAACAAACCAGGACAGTGGCTATTAGTTACAAACATACTTTCTGTAACATTACTGTGTTTACTTTGGACACAAATCTTTACCATCTGTGCCTTTCACAGTGACTATTTAGCACTGGGGAAGAGAAGGGGAAAGGAAAAACAAAGATTTAAACCTGTAGTTTTACTCTCAGCTGCTTCCTTTCCATCCACATGGCAAAAGATGGTTGAGGGAGAACAAGCCAGATTCCAGATTCCTCTTCAGAACTGTACTTTTAGAACCAATATTTTAGGCCTCCAAAGAAGGGCAGCTAAGCCTCTGAACATCGAAGAACTCTGTTATAGAAGAACCCTCCAGCAAGCAGCTCTTTCTTGAAAGCT